ACTACACTACACTACATTACACTACACTACACTACACTACACTACACTACACTACACTACACTACAGACTGGTTCATCTTCTGCTTCACCATCTTCCTCTCTCTCCACTATCAGCTTCCATGTATCCTCCTTTCCAACACAGTTATGCAGGGTTCCTTCCACAACCATTTCAAAGAGTTCCAGTGTTGTTCCATCGAGGTTCCATCAACATCTCCCATTTTTTCCTGATATCTGACTGACTGACTGACTGACTGACTGATCGACTGATGTGGAGATTCCCTTTCTAGTTTCAACCTTCACCTTCAATTCTGGTTGTTCAACTTGAACTGTGGCCTTTCATCAATTTCTGTGAAGCCTTTCAGCTTGATTCGCAAAATTAATTGCACTAGATCGTGAGTGGTGTGAACCATCTACATCTCCTCCCCTTCTCCATCTAGTGTCCACTAGACTGCGTCTCCACTCTCTTCACATTGAGATGAAGTCGATCTGATCTCCAGTCTAGTGTGTCCTGGTGTGTCTGGTGATATCAAATCCATGTCACTCACTTTGTCAATATCCTCGTGTTTGCACACACTGACTCCAATCACCAAATCGTTGAATGCGCAGAAGTCTGCAAACAGTTCTACATTCTCGTTCATCATTTCACTGAGTGCCTCTCAAATCATGATCAGTTCTCTTCCTGTGTTATCCACTCCGAGGTTGGCATTCATGTCACCACACCCATTACAATTTCGATGTCGCATCTAGGATGGAGTCTTGTCCAGTACTGATTGAAGTTGTCTGTAGAATTCCTTATTCTTCTCTTCATCCCCATTATTTGTAGATGCTTGGCGTAGCGTAGAATTGTATAATTGTGACTTTGCTTCTTTACGAGTTGAACTGTGCTATCATGATCCTGATCCTGATCCTGCAGTAGGAGATCGCTTCCCACTGCATCAGAATGAGCCTCCAATGCTCTTCAATGGGACATCATGATAGCCACTCAACAACTCAATGTGCCCATGGTTGTCGTCTGATGATAACATCGGAGTAGATTATTGACTCCTCTCCACTTGACAGTTTGGAGAGTCCACTTCCATTCCATCTGCAGATTTATCACAGATAACCAGCCTAGCAATTCTATGCTCTTCCTTCTCATCTCTTTGGCACTCTGGACAGCCGTTCCACGTTCATTCATGGTGTGGACATTCCATGTCCACATTCTCACTTTCACTTTCATCGAGAGAAGAGAAGACATATCGGACGATCGGCTCCGCGAAGGCTTTCTCCAAATGGCATCATTTCGCCTCTCCGATTCCAGTCAGTAATAAATTTGCTTTCATTTTTAATGATTTCTTTGTGTTTTGAAGTTTCTTTGGGGATTGGATTGGTTTTCCTGTGTGGGGTTGCTAGCCGTATTCTCAACCCTCCCATTTTTGCGGATTGAGGACGGACTAGTAACAAGTGAACCAGCTAATCAGTTGAGGTAATATTAGAAAATAGTGATGGTTTACAAATAAGCTGGTTATAAATAACCAGGTCAAGGTCATGATTCCTACGAGACTGGATGCAAAAATCTCTCCAGAATTTGTCTTACTGTCTGCATGAATTTCATCGGATAACAATTATCCTATACACATCTTTCGATTGACTGAATTGTTTCTTACAACTTACACTGGGAGCCGAATCTCCTTGCTATCTGATTTAACATTCTTGTTGAACCTCTATTGTAACAGGTTGTGAAGAAATTGTCATAGTTCACATAGTGACCGATCAGTGTATTTTTGTGCTGAATACTCCGCTTCATCAAATCATTTTCGTTGCGTCTCAAAAACAAGTCCAGACTATTCAATTATTGCTTTTTCCCATTTCATTGTCATATTAATAGTGTGGTGTGCAGTGCCAGGGATTTTGAATCAGTTTCTTTGCTTTTTGAACATTTCATAGATTATGAAGCTATGAACAGCTAAGGGTTTTGGGTATTACTGATCTAAATGGATTTTTAAATTTAAGTGTTTGCTTTCATTTTCAAAACACCAATTTGTATCTTGAAATGTTGCATGTAAAATATGTTGTTATTAATTATAGTGGTTGATTCCTTATTTGTTCAGGTTGCTTGCATCTGACCAACATCTTATAAAATAAGCTAATTTCTTTCTGTGAATCATGTTCTCATCGCGTTATCCAAGTATTTGCAATCAATGAAATACAGGCGTTCCTTCAATGACTTGAACCCTCAGTTACTTTGTTCTGGAATAAAGTATGTCAGTACTAGACCAGCCGTGATATGACTGACCCTCTAGGACTAAGCTTTGTACAAAGATCAGCCAGTATTGCGTTACTGATTTCTTTTCCTAAACATTTTTGCTCAACACTGAATGAATTCAGTTGATCAAATTCTTAACTGTAGCCACCAAGAGAAGTTATACGATATTGGTCTTTATTATTTCGTAATAATACTCAGTATTACATTGTCTTTAAAATTGATTTCTTAGACTAAAGATAAGAAACTAGAAAACGCATTAGTTGTTTTTCAAATTCAACTCAATATTTTATTGTTGATGTGAAAATATCCAGTAGCTGCAGTATATCGACAGCTGACAGCATACTAAGTTAATGAGCCAAGAGGAAAATAAAAGCTGACAAGTTATATCGTGTCACTATTCACGTTTGCGCTTCAACTTTAGTCAATACTTTATCTTATATCTATAGTTTACAAAGCTAAATAATGTTTCTTTGTATATTGATCTGATTACGTATTAACTTCAGCAGTATGCATGTACATGTGAGCAAATAAACGTGCATCAACTTTATATATATATATATATATATATATATATATATATATATATATATATATATATATACTGGAGCGCACATTAAGATACGCCGTTTCAATTGTCGAAACACACTAGCCGTTTTAACATCTGTCATACCGATTTCAAGTTTGCAAAATATTTCTTCTTTCTTCCTGCTGTACAAGACTCTTCGAAAACTAAAGGATAATTATACCTTACCGATTATAATTCAAAATGCCACGTACCAACTATATGTGTTTTGTTAAATAATCCTAGGGTAAGCGATATATATACATATATGTTGTTTGATGGGAAAGAACTTTTGTTTCAGAGATTAGTTCATTATATCTGACAGTAAAATCAAATGAACTTTAGTGTATAGTAAGATTTTTAACTACTTTTATTCATTGAAATATCACAGAAATGATGTCTTCAAGATGGTATTTATTAGCATCTTCGATTCAGTATAATATACCGTCATCCATATTAGTACGTAACAATACGACAGAACCATATTTAATAAACTCTGTGGGGAACTAAGATCGTACGGTAGCTTTTGACAGTATGATGCAAGAAATCCATGTGCAATCTAAGTACAAACGCAAAATATCATGAAGTCAAAGGTGGTTTTGTGTGTAAATTTATTGATATGGATGATGTTCACATTAGCAAAAGACTTTCGGTGCAACTTAATCAGTAGGGATTAGAGGAAGTCAGCATCGAGCGCTCTAAGTTTTGATAACTTGCACGTAATACCCCATAGTGTGCTAGGAAGTTTAAGGACTCCAACTAGAAACTAGCAAGAAGTATTATGGTATTCACATGGTAATCTCGAGGAACTTTTTTCCTCTTCTACGGCTTGAATACTTCACATGAAGCTATGTTTAAGAAATTTGTAGATTCTAGTCCTACTACTATTTCCTAGTGCACTACATAATTCCTTAGATTGAAACTAATTACGTAACAGCATTTTCACCTGTTATCAAACCGAAGCTTAATGCATAAATTATTGAAGGTGCAAGAACTGTTAACTTGGGAGTTTCATTGACACTGTAGGCTAGCAACTCACAATTCATTAATATACAGATGAGGTACACACAAGCATTGGTGCACTAAACAAAAATGAAGCGAAAGTGACTACTGACAAACACTTTCGAGCAATCTTGACTACGTATTCAGAAGTTACCGCTACTCTGTAAAATGCTCAAAATGGCTCACTTCATTCAGTGTGAGTTTCTTACAGTGCCTAAATACAAGACGCTTTCTGACGAAAAAAACATTTAACAAAGCAACTGGTTTAGCTACCGTTATATATGATATGTTGTTTCAGTCTAAAAGGGAATGTTACTAAATTACAAGACTCATTGTTAGAATAAAAAATCCCCTGTCAATGAATACTTTCAGACTACTAGTAAATTGTGTTTTCCATAACATTGGATGCTGCTCTTTTGAGGGCATTTGGACAAAAATCAGGTGAAATAATACAATTTCTTCTATAAAATTTAGTCTGCAGCACTCTTGTGGCTGTTTTTCTCTAATCTTTCAAACGCAAAAGTCTTATAATGAAAAGGTAGGACTTAAGGAGGAATATAAAGAGATATTGCGAAAAACATCTTGGATCTTTAATTTGCTTTTATATACATAGAGATATTTAATAATACTTGTACATCACTCTTAACAAACGCACTCTGAAATAGCAAAGGTAAAAGTAGTGAAATATGTAAACTGCTTTGTGCATTTTATGGCTTATTATGAGGTCAGTGTTACATCTAGTACTGTAACCTTGGAAAGACAGATCGGAAAGGAATACTCAAGCTTCTTCTTTCATATTGCAATAAATTTCTGAAAGAATAGATAACTCAAATCTTTGATTGCATTCACTCTTCATTGTAAAAGAGATGCCTTTCATCAAAGATTACAATACGGGAATTAAAGTGTGATTAACATTTCAAACTTCATTAATAGGTTTGGTAAAATTCATCCTAAATCGAGCATAATATATGAGCAGATTAACTTATAAAATATGAAACGTTACTTGAAAACGTCAGCGATTTTGTGGTTTCCCAGCAGACATTTGTCATATGCAACTTTTTGAGTGCACTGAATGATTAAATAAGACATAGTACATTTTTGTGCAAATATATGCCAGAAATAGATAAATTCCTTTTATTTTAATCTATCTTCTTCAAAGATATACTTCATAATGGCTCGATGTGATTTTGCATGGTTCAAAATCCCTTTGTTTGCTGTCTTACATGCACTTTTTGGCTGCCAGTCACGTGAGTTCATATCTCATTACATTGTTCTCAGAGGTTAAAAAAATTCACTCACTACAAATGTTTTCTGAACATTCAAGCTAGAGAGGATATTAAAAGGGCTGGATGTCATGAATTTTATGTATGTAGTACTGCAAATAAAAAAAATGCTTTGCAATGAATAATAGCAGGTTTTTGTATAAAACCGTCCATGAAATTTATTCAGGAGAATGCCAGGACATTACTTATTGGTAATTGCCGGTTGTCATGCCTGTTAATAACTAATAGATATTGCATAAGGAGTGGCTGTTTTTCCTCAGTGACCTAATGGATAACGCTTTGGGATTCGAAGCGTTTGGTATGAGGTTCAAGTCTGAGCAAGATCACCATCGTTTACAGGACTGCAGGTACGTCCAGCTGACGACGCTTACATGGGACGAAATGTGCATCCTTTATCCTGCTGCAAGCCACCACAAAATAAAAATAATAAGTGTATTTATGTTACTTAGATACAAACTGGTTAGTAACTAGGGAATGGTAAACTTCACTTTCTTCAGATATAGACGACAATGAACTTAAATGCAAAATCCAGCTTGATGATGACATTTCACGAGGATCAATAAAATTCACTTGGCACTCAGGACTAAAGAACATGAAATTCTTTTCCCTCTTTTTATCATTCAAGATATCTAATCACATTTTACAGATGATCAATCCAATTGTGAACAACTCAGAGGTGATTCTTCTGACTGCAACATCGAATTATGTGAGTTCAAATCAGTGAGTGAAAAACTGTTCCACTGAGGTTTCAGAAACGCCTTGCTGACAAGTAGTAACCTAAGTGCAAATTGTACTGCCAATACAAATTTGTTGAGTGAAAGGTTACCATTAGATTATTCAATACAGAATATGCACGCAATCTGTCCACTTAGAATATACTTAACGCACAATACCACCTCGTCGCCTAAACCAAAGAAGAGTATTAGGCATTTTTAACCTTTTTTAGATGGTAGTGGTTCCATCATAAATGTCAGTAAGAGTTTGATCAGTGATATACGAATATTGAGTGACTAGTTTAGTCGTAAAGTAAAGAAACAACAAAAATATTTGGATAGACCTCAACGACAAGCATATTGTTGTGAACATTAGGGCATCGTCTTAACGTCTGGAGCCCTAAAGAGTGGAATGGTTGATATATTTGAAGAGAAATAGGACTCTCATGAACAAATACAAAAGTTATTTTCACTAAGTATTTGAAATCGTTGAGACTCATTCGACAATATACATACAGCATATTATTCACAATATACATTCAATTCACTGGTGAAAGTAGCTTGAATTTCACTTTAGTTTATCACTTTACTACTTTGATCTGCATTATTCAAAAACGCAAAGAGTTATACGGTCTTCGAACCAAATACGAACACTAGAAATTACTCCACCTAAATATAACGATTTAAATTGTTAGTCTTAGCTTTACATCAGACTTACAGGTAAAGACTAAGTTACACGCTTTGTACTAACGACAATCCCAGAAGAACCACATACAGCTTTTCTTTATCACTAGATGAAGATTGAAGATGAAATGAAAATTTGGACAGCAGTAGGATTGATATCGGTGAGCACTGCGTTTTCGGCTTTATGATCTACCAGCCGAGCTATGAGACCCAACTGCTGACCAGATTTTTATTTCACTTCAATCACCAAGGATTTCGCCTGATTATCATGTGTATTCATGAGCTTTACTACCTGTCTATCATATTCACACTGGCTGCTCAGTCAGGACTTCTCATCCTAATCCAAATTTAACTGAATCAGAGAGGGGGAGCAAAGTATTGATTATCATCTGACTATATGAGATGGCCATACTAGTTGTGGAAAACCCTTGATGATCAAAGTGAAATAAAAATCTGGTCAGTATTCGGACTTCGTATCTCAGTTGATAGAGTATCGCACAGAAAACCTGGTGGTCGCTGGCTCAAATCCGGCTATGGTCCAAATTTTCATTTCACCTTCAATCATCACCGAGTATCAATACTAGTCTGCCAAACCATGGCTATATGAGATAGTTCAAATAAAAACATAATTGTTGAAAACTGACTTTTGTTAAATGCGTTACTTACAGTAAGATCATTCATGCACTGTCAGTAGATAATGCTCATCCAAAAGATTTAGCGTTGGCAATTAGGTGTCTACCGTAAGTACACTTTCTAACAAATAACAAGCTAGGGATCATTGTTTCGAGCATGAAAAAAAATATTTCTAGTTTGATGGTTTGTCATTATTTAGTGCAATGAATGAAATGCCTATTAGTGACAAAAAAAATCTAGATATGTTTGAGTAAAATTAATAACGTGATTTGCCCGCTTCAATACCAAGAATTCTGTCATTGAGACTGAACCATTTATAAGGTAGCGCAGAACTTTTATAATACATCACAGAGTAATTTTTAGCATTCTAAGTTACCTTTTACTTGGTTTTACAATCGCAGGTATTTTGTTGCAGTTTCGAAGGACCATATATCAGCCTTTGTCCCATATGTTAGGTGAGTTTTTCAATACGGATGAAAACATGGTTATAAAGTTCATTATAATTATATCTGGAAATATATAATGGGCAAAGTATTTGCTGAATGAATCAGTCACAAGGAAGGAAAACTCTAAAACTTAATGTATCTTTATTCTACATGAATGAAACACCAAAAAGATTAGTTTAATGAACTTGCTTTTTCCTGAGTGTGTTGTGTTGATGACGTGAGAACAGATTCAGCAAAAATGTAAATCATTACAAGCTAGGACAATAATTATGGTAGGATGACTCCACAGTCAGTAGAGGATCATATTAATAACCCCAGTGGCACTAGTTCGAATCCTGCGGCTACTCGAGTTTTCACTTAGGGCCTAGTCATATCTTGTATTAATATTCACAGTCGGTCAAACGACAGCTATCTCAGATAGTCACAATGATAATCTAAGAAATACTTAGTACGACAGCATTCACTTCTGGCCAAAAATTTTCACAAAGTAGACAGAATGACTTGCTTACTTATGCGTTCGATTACTTTATAGCAAAAACACCAAAAGGTCAAGATATACATTTTATTATAATTAGGGTTTTTCATTAGTATTGTAATAAATATAAAAGAGATAAGTGTTTGCCACCTGTTTTGCGAAACAGTTCCGCATTAAGACATCAAAAGTAGACTGCGATATTATATCAAAGATTCGCAGTCTAAGATTCACTTTTAATTGACTAGAAAAAGACTGACATCAAGCACACGTAACACAAAAACAACCTAGTAACCTACAATATTTGCATTCTTGTGTAATTAAAACAGGCGGTAAGACGAAATCTGAAGATATTTTTGCATCCAGTCTTGCAGGAATCATGACTTTGACCTGGTTATTTATAACCAGCTTATTTGTAAACCATCACTATTTTCTAATATTACCTCAACTGATTAGCTGGTTCACTTGTTACTAGTCCGTCCTCAATCCGCAAAAATGGGAGGGTTGAGAATACGGCTAGCAACCCCACACAGGAAAACCAATCCAATCCCCAAAGAAACTTCAAAACACAAAGAAATCATTAAAAATGAAAGCAAATTTATTACTGACTGGAATCGGAGAGGCGAAATGATGCCATTTGGAGAAAGCCTTCGCGGAGCCGATCGTCCGATATGTCTTCTCTTCTCTCGATGAAAGTGAAAGTGAGAATGTGGACATGGAATGTCCACACCATGAATGAACGTGGAACGGCTGTCCAGAGTGCCAAAGAGATGAGAAGGAAGAGCATAGAATTGCTAGGCTGGTTATCTGCGATAAATCTGCAGATGGAATGGAAGTGGACTCTCCAAACTGTCAAGTGGAGAGGAGTCAATAATCTACTCCGATGTTATCATCAGACGACAACCATGGGCACATTGAGTTGTTGAGTGGCTATCATGATGTCCCATTGAAGAGCATTGGAGGCTCATTCTGATGCAGTGGGAAGCGATCTCCTACTGCAGGATCAGGATCAGGATCATGATAGCACAGTTCAACTCGTAAAGAAGCAAAGTCACAATTATACAATTCTACGCTACGCCAAGCATCTACAAATAATGCGGATGAAGAGAAGAATAAGGAATTCTACAGACAACTTCAATCAGTACTGGACAAGACTCCATCCTAGATGCGACATCGAAATTGTAATGGGTGTGGTGACATGAATGCCAACCTCGGAGTGGATAACACAGGAAGAGAACTGATCATGATTTGAGAGGCACTCAGTGAAATGATGAACGAGAATGTAGAACTGTTTGCAGACTTCTGCGCATTCAACGATTTGGTGATTGGAGTCAGTGTGTGCAAACACGAGGATATTGACAAAGTGAGTGACATGGATTTGATATCACCAGACACACCAGGACACACTAGACTGGAGATCAGATCGACTTCATCTCAATGTGAAGAGAGTGGAGACGCAGTCTAGTGGACACTAGATGGAGAAGGGGAGGAGATGTAGATGGTTCACACCACTCACGATCTAGTGCAATTAATTTTGCGAATCAAGCTGAAAGGCTTCACAGAAATTGATGAAAGGCCACAGTTCAAGTTGAACAACCAGAATTGAAGGTGAAGGTTGAAACTAGAAAGGGAATCTCCACATCAGTCGATCAGTCAGTCAGTCAGTCAGTCAGATATCAGGAAAAAATGGGAGATGTTGATGGAACCTCGATGGAACAACACTGGAACTCTTTGAAATGGTTGTGGAAGGAACCCTGCATAACTGTGTTGGAAAGGAGGATACATGGAAGCTGATAGTGGAGAGAGAGGAAGATGGTGAAGCAGAAGATGAACCAGTCTGTAGTGTAGTGTAGTGTAGTGTAGTGTAATGTAGTGTAATGTAGTGTAGTGTAGTGTAGTGTAGTGTAGTGTAGTGGAGTGGAGTAGAGTGGAGTGGAATGCATGTATGAAGAAGGTAAAGAGGAACTAACAACAACCTATAGGACACTACACTGGACAACGAGGTGAAGAAGAGTGAGCACAGGGATGAAAGACACTTCTACGACACATTGGTAAGTGAAGCACAATAGGCTGCAAGTAGGAGAGACAGAGACCTGACAACACTATATTGAACAACCAGTCAACTATCAACTATCTGGGAAGAGATCAACACAGCACACATGAAATCAATGAAAGATAGTGAAGGAAACCTGGTTAGTAAGGAGAAGAAACAAAAGAAGCGGTGGGTTGACCACTTCGACAAGCTCTTGAATTGACAACCACCACCACCACCACCAACTGCAACTCGTCCACAAATACCACCAGCATCAGCTCAGCCACAGAATTACCAGTGGACGCGAGCACTCCGACAAAAGCGGAAATGAAGTCTTGAAGGCCATGAAGTTGGTGAGAACCGGGAAAGCAGGAGGACCAGATGGAATTCCTCCAGAAGCACTTAACACAGACATAGAGACAACAGGGGACATGCTCACACCACTACAGTAGAAGGTTTTGAAGGAAGGAAGGGATGAAGGAAGGAAAGAAGGAAGGAAGGGAGGAGTGAAGGTAAAGTATCAGCTGGTTCGAAGAAGGTCTATCCCGTAGAACTCTCAAAGGAGTGTGACCCAAGTCTGTGGAAGAACAAGAAGTGGCACTGAACCATGCTTGTGTACTCCATAATCAGACATAATATTGAGTCGCATCATCCTAGGGAGACTGGTAGACTGTGCTGGATTCAAAATTACAACCAACAAAGTCTGGCTCGCTGGCTGGCTGGCTGGCTGGTCTCAGGAAGAACAAATCATTTGAGCATCAAATTGAACGCTACTCTACGTATCATCATACAACACAGCATAGAATGACAGTCACTTCTCTACCTAACCTCAACTTCATCGACTTTGAAAAGGCTGGTGACAGCGTTGACTGAGAAGTAGTTTGGTAGCCACTTCAACACTACGGTTTTAATGCCACAAACCTGTACCAAACTCATTCATCAGCAGACAAGTAAGAGAGGACTTCCTTCAGATTAAAGTAGTGGAGACAGAGGTGATGAAGATACTCAAACACCACCACCACCACCGCCGCCACCACCGCCACTACCACCACCAACTAACAAAATCGATGCTGTCATGGAGGAGATTGTGTGAGGAGGAATTGGGAGCTGATGGGTAGTTGTGAGACCATGTTGGGAAGACTGAAGAGAACAGAGTGCAATGATGACGTACTAGTGCAGCCTTATATTCCACTAGGAACCCAGGGGACAGACAATATGGAAATAATAATACTTACTTCATGAAAATGAGTTATTACTAAAATAATCTTGGTCAATTTTTCAAACTTTACCCTAATGACGTCAATGGAGTAGTTCTCACTGTACCAATCTGATTTAAAATGACTAAGGAAACTTTAATTGTTCCTATCTATCTATTACATATTAAGTCTTACCTACACCCAGTTATTCGATTTTCATTGAGACCTTAGTGATATAGAGTGTTGTTTGCTGGATGACACACATAACAAAAGCACATTCTTTTTCTAAAGATCTGAACGGCAAATATGCAATTGCCTATTTACTTTATTTGTTTTTCAAATGTTCAAGTGTCAGTTTTGCTGTTAGCCATGTTCACAAGTGAAATACAACAAAATTATGCAGATCTTATAATTGACTTAACTACCCTAACAAAATTGTATTTGCCTTGAAATGAAAAGTGTGAAAGTTGAGTGAATCAGATGATTCCTTTTGCATTACTTTATTGATTAGTTAACCAATCAGTCTGTATATCTGTGTGTGTCTTGGTGTAAGTTAAGTTATCGTTAAGATGTTGTCAGACACATTGATTTTCTAAAACCCACATTTTCGGTAATTGACAACATGAAACAGTAAACTGAATTAGCATTGTAGTCGTTCTGTTCAACGTTAATGGAATGGGGTTCTTTGAGAAAGTATATTGATGATAAAATTCTCATTTGTGACAAAACATGTCCGGTGAATGAGCTGTTCAATGATTCAATGTTTATCACCCGTCGAATAAATTCACTGCAAACGAAGAGTCAAATTAAGCGTTTCACCCTCTTGATATAATGTTAAATGGAAGAGATGATGGCTCGATCTGAGAGTCAGTTTATTGCAAGCCAACTTGGATTGGGCAGGCAGTTCACTAACTTTAATAGTTGGGTACCTGTTAGATGTGAGAGAAATCTCATTCACTCACTGTCTTCTAGAATCTGTGTAGGCTGTTCAGAAGACACGGTTGGTGTTGATTTTAAATTCTTGGAATAATACTGTTGAACAATGGATACCTTAGAAGATTTGCTGATAACAACTAAAGGAGGAAATCATCCTTCCCCTCATTACAATTCCTAAGAATGTTGTGATCATGAATTTGTAATTGAAAGGGGACACGACAGCCGAAGTGAATCAATATTACCTTTCATTTCGCCAGACTGAGCTCAATGTACTCGATCCGTTGTTCGATTCGGTAATGTGTAACTAATAAGCCACCAATTATGTCGACATTTATGTGAATCTACGAATTCGCATTCTGCTATGTCGCTGACTGTGTTGGTCATTGCTACAATGTTCTCCGAAAATGAGTTGCTCAACCTTACCCTGTTCGCGACACTGAAGGCGAGCTTTATCAGCCTCATTAGTGCAAAGATATTGTATATGTTGAGATAATAATTTAGGTTTGTATTCTGGATTTTAGAAGAAATTATTTATTAGTGTTCACCACTTTTTTGTAAGCATTGAATTATTCGTCTAACTGCCAACTATAGTAGTAAGAGAATATTTACTGTTTTCTAGTGCTCTTGGTATATATCCACCGGAGAAATATATGTTCATGGGGTTGATGTCAACTTATGGAGTTATGGGTGAGTTCATTTTCATCCAACGATTATTCCTCATGAAAATTCTACAACTAATTTATTTAACGCTGTGACAAACTTCATAGACATGTAATGAATTGTGAATTAACTGTATTGCCAAGCTCAATCCACTTCGAATTTAACCACGTTGTCAGTATATTTTATTTTGTGTGTCACGAAGACAATTTGATAGATAATAATATCTGACAAACAGTGTCATAATCCGACGAAGTGGAAAAGCCAGGAGGTGAAAAAGCCACAACCATTGAAATTCTGTCTTCTTATTTAAGTTCTTTTGACATGAAAACTGAATGTGAGAGTGACTGGCTAATGACCGATTCTGTCAATAGTGTTCCTGAAAGGCGTTAAAGATTTGGTGCTTCCTATTAGGTTCACAAACCATTGCCAGTACAGCTTCAGTAGCACGTATATTTCTTATGATGTGAAACTTGTCACAAAAGGGTTAGATAATTTGAAGTATCCCATCAGATACTCAAAACAATAATTATTTTGAAGGAATTCTGACGAATTCTTTCAGGGCGTCACAATCATACCTTCAAGAAATTATTGCAAGAAGAGCTAGTAAAAATAAAACGTGAAGGAAATAATGGTTGAACTGAGAAATATATTCAATAGATGTAATTCTGTGCTACTGAATGTAGGTGAAACAGTTATCGAATTACCATTGACAACGATCTAACTACAAACACGATAGACAGTCTGTCGTGATGTAATGTGACAGGGTCGAAAATCGATGTGCACAGTTATAAATATATCTGTATGAATGTTTACGTACATAGTATTTAATACGAAAAGATGAAAATTGTGGAGGAACTGGTTCTAACTGAGTGAGTGAATGTCATGTGAAGCCGGTAACATGACAGGATAAGATGTGTGTAAAGGCAAGAGATAAGTAATAGTGGCAATAATGGAAATTATACGGTGATCATAATAAAATTGACGTATATTGTGTGAATGGAATTTTCAGTTGGTGGGAAGATGGAAAGTAATGACGAACAACGAGTTTATAATCTGTTTGCAATATCAGAAACTGATTATGAGATGAAAAGCATGCCATGACAGACGAAGAGATTGAATATATATCTGTTATGAGAGCATGATTTCAGCTTTCATTTATTCCTTTTCACGACTTCTAGCATACTTAAGTGACATCCATGTACCGTACAGCTGATTATTCAGTGCTCTAAATATTATCCAAAAACCACGTTCGGTTTACATTAGTGTTTTATGTTCATCAAATGGGAAAGGATTTTACTACCTACCGATTTTTCTAGCTTTCGACCATGTGGAGGTGCTAAATGCTCATAACATCGGAGCTCAAAAATCCTTGTATCCTTGGATCACATGTTTATCTGAGAAGTAAATGATTGGATGAAACTTGCAATCGGTTTTTACAGACCGACTAATGAGTTGTATTGCAAAGATATAGGTTGAACATATATTTAGTCTTAAGTTATTTGATGATTGAGCCACCTCTCCAGAAATATCTGTATCAAGCGATAGTAAACAGTTATGTGTATATTGCCTTTAGAATGAAGCTATAGGTAACTTACAGAATCACCAGTGCATCAGAAATTGTTCCTACCAATTCTGCTTGGAAGTAATAAGTGTGATAATCTATGGAAGTAGTAAACAAAACATTATTGTCGTAGCATATTGAAATTTGAGTAACTTTAGTTTAGTAGATCTTTGACTGTTTTCTTCCTGTGGTTTTTGAGTCCAAGAATTTCTATGTTATCTTGAATGATTAAAAGTGTATTTGATGCAGAAAACAATTCACTGAAGTATGAAGGATTTAAGGGTTAATGTGAAGCCTTGAAGGTTCATGAATTTTCATAAACATAACTCAATAACAGGTATCCATATCATTTGTGTTCAATAAGTGAATTTAATATTATAGACAAAATAATATTGATATGAGAATAAAAATGTAATTTTTCTAATGAAAGTGCCTTCAGCCTTTAGAGTTTCAAACAAAATTTGGCAACTTATTGTCAGACTTTTGAGAGCTCAGCTAAGTACTCAGATTTGAAGTCAAATTTTTGGTAAATATTAGGACTGAATCCATCAGACTGTCTAAATATTCGACTCAGATATCTTTACTATTTATCGAAGAAACGGACTAATATTCTTTCATAGTTCTAATCTCATTTTTACTTTTTCTTTAATGAAGCTACATTTAGTCAATGGATTTGGTTTTGGAAGGCTGGTTTCGAAGTCAGAAAGAGAATGAAGTCAAAAATTCCTCATTTGGTGCTAATAATTTGTGTCTTATTTATGACGGCAGCTGGAGTTTGCATAGTTGGACTTTCTTTTATTAATGTATGTCAACATTTCGGTTCCAATAACTATTTCAGTTTTGTATATCCTACTTGAAAGTTTTCCCCTTTTAGAAGGATCATTATCTCATTTTACAAGAAAAATATCCACAGATTTGTCAAGGATATTTCGAAATGAAAAAGTGTTTTTAGGCTTCCATAGGCTAAATGTACATGCGGTATCATAACTCAACTGCATACTTCTGTGCAAAATCTAACTTTCAGAGGAAACGTTAAACATGTATATAATCAATAAGTTTTTCTTTAGATCCAAATACTCAGCTAAGCAGTAGATATAACTGTGGAGCAGATCTAAGTTTATATCTAGAAACTGTTTTCAACTTCACTTTCCATGACTTTTTAACAGTAACCATGAATGTATGTCCAATTTCTCTCTTATACTATCGTCTCCAGCTTCTCTTAATTTGTTAGGTATTTCTTTAGAAGAAAGACGGCGTTACATTACCACCATACAGGAATCGCAAAAATACTTCCAATTAACCTCAGTTGATATCACCAGATTGTAGGATAGTTTCCACTGAATTAGTTGACGTCTACCCAATCAATCTACAAACGCATTTCATATTATGCAACCTAAAGTTTTATTATGCATGGATAGGAGGAAGCAAGTTCGATAAGAAATATAAAGAATAGAATGTATTTAGGCAGAACTACAATTTTCGTAATTCACTGAAAGAATCCTAAGTGTAATCTGGGAACTAGAGACATTCCAAGTAGCCATTATATTCTCATAAAGTATTTAACACAAGATAAACAACAGCTCAAAATTGTACATTCCAGCTGATGTATAATAACTTTGTAGTAGCAATACTCCTTCACTACTTTCATTATCAGGCATTTTCTTTTCGTTTGACAATCAATTTTAATAGATGATATGGTATCATGACAAGAGTTTGTACAAGTTTCTTGCAGACAGTCATGTCAACAACTTCATTCACACTTAGTTTTCCTCATTATAAATAGGATCATGAAAAAGCTTGGTTATAATTGATGATAACATCTTTATGCAACAGTGGAGAAAACATCTGTCGTGAAAATTGTAGTCAGTTATATATTGATCATGAATAGTAGCTAACAGTGGAATCCGAAGAGCACGTTTCATCCTATTACGGACTCACCAGCTAGAAGTACCTGCCTCCAAGTGAGTCTTGTTCCCACAGGAACTCAAACTCGGAACTGATGGCTTCAAACGCCACAGCGTTATCTACTAGACCACCGAGCCATGACATCCACTTCGTGTGTGGTGGAAACAGTTTGAGTGTTGTTGTTTGAACTCTCCCGTCGTTGATTAGACCGAATTGATCAGTGTCTATTGACACATGGACTCTTGTGCAAATGCCTCAATGTCGCTTGTGTTTCAAGCACCAACATTTGTTTCAGTATTGAAAGAATTCAGTCTAATTCATTCGAAGTATGTTATAACGCCTGTACTCATTGATCACGCATCACACAGCTTCAAAAGCTAAATACGTATAACTAATTTGATCAAAAATCACCTACTATATTATCATGCTCAACAGAAGGGTAGTTTGAACATGTCTGTACTATTGGAACGCATATACACCTGCAACACCTGCAACAGCTAGTCAGTAGAAGCATTTCTATACAATTTCAGAGAGGTGGTCCGAAAATTTAAACAGATGTTTTGCGCTGTCCAGTCTAATATTGAAGAAACAGTGATGTATGAGAATCACACTGAAAGAATATATATTTGGTATGATGATGCATTACGACCAGTTTTTCATAATTTAGGTAACTGCAGAGACTTAAACTGTTTCTCACATAAACCTGAATGAAGCAGATTTGAAGGCTTATGAACCCTGATGAACCGAAATTGCGGTTCCTATCAAATCAAACGATGTGCTTTTAGTCAAAGTCACCTCAGGAGGTATTCACATCAGTATGCATAATTATTTTAACATTGGAAAAATAAGAGATTGGAACGTGAATACGTTTGCAGATAGAAAAGGCACTTGCTATGTAACAGCAGAACTGGTGTATGTGTGTGTTGAAATTAAATACTAATTGGTTGCGGTTTAAAAATATCAAGCCGAATATATTTGATCATACAATATATTGAATCATAATTCCATTTTTATTGATTTATTAGATTTATCACACAGTGTAGCAGTGTTGTTTACTGGATTTCCTCCCAAATTAATTGATAAACTCCTTAGGAATCGTAAGAGAAATATCAGTAACACAGTTTTTAATAGTAGTAATAATCGTGCCAATAACAGCAACAATAATAGTAACAATAGTGTTGGTAATGATGTTAATAACAGTAGCGGCTATACTCTATTACCATTCAAAGAAGACACTGCAGAAACACTACATAGAATTCCCAATAAGGCTGGGTGGGATCACAGTGGCATTTAAACCTACAAACTCACTTCGAAATAAGCCTTGTAGCTTAAAAGATCCCACTGACCCAATTAGGCAGAATAACTTAGTTTACCAAATCCCTTGCAACGAGTGCGAGGTCAGATATATAGGTCAAAGTAGTTGACCAGGGTCACTTAGGCTATTCGAACACAAAAACCTGTCTTGGTCAAAATCACTAGATCCCAGTAGGGTAGGAAATGTAGAAAAACATCCAGCCATAGCTATGCATGCCACTACACACGACCACACAGTGGGATTGGACAGGGTAAAAATCCTTAAAACTAACATAACAGGTTGAAGAGAGAGATCGATAACTGAATCTTTGTTTATTGAACCAACACCTAACACATGCAACAGGAATGACTCAGCTCCTGTTCTGGATATATGGAAAATCTCACTAGCCATCTCACAAAGAGACGAGGAAATTAGGACCATATAAAGGATATCTCAAGTTGTGTAGTCATCTTGATATGACTACGAACAATAAATGATGTCTGAAACGTAATCCAGTAAACAATACTTACTGTTACACTGTGTGACAAATCTAATCAATCAATGAAAATGAAATAACATTCTACGACAGTGAACCAGTTTTACACTCATATCAACATTGAATCATAACCGTGGAAAATTCGTGCATTGTGGGGAGGACTAATGCATTGTAAATATATTTGTAATGAGTATTTACGCACAATGATCGATTCCTGTTTTTGTCAGGAGGATGATATTAAAGAAAGAACGCAGTTATCTGTATAAGAAATAGTAAATGGAGTAGAATACTATTTAGTAACAAAGTATCTCACATTCGAAGGAAGGTCATGCGAACAAAGTGGAGGAATAGCCATGCAGTCATCCATCTCACCAATGGTTTGATTTTCATGAAGGAAACGCCCAAAAATCATACATGTTTTCAATAAAAAGTGAGTGATGTGGGGATAACAAACTGGTCGTAAAATGGAATGGAGATATTGACGGTTTTTGTGTGCATACAAACAGTCATGTAAACTCAACTAAATTCATAATGGGAATAGAGAAAGATTTGGGAGAACGTTACCCTGTAGAACACAAAGAATGTTAGATAGAAGATTGAAGACCTCGACCTACACGAAACCTAACTATTCAGGAAGATTGCCGCATTGCCACCCAACACATTCGCTCAGTGTAAAAAGAGGGTTACCACAGAGTCTAACAAATAGAATGCGTAGGTTGACAATATACCCCAATAATGAAAGAAGAGAAATAAACATTTTGTGCATTTTATGTTATTTTCAAGAATCATCATCCCAACCAGTTCATAAAAGACAAGATCAAGAAGAAGGAGACGCGGAGAAGAAACCGAAAAAGATGAGAAAACAGAGTATAAGAAACTATCCTACTGCGTGTAAGAAAGGTACATCTGAGTCAATGAAACAAAATCTCGAAACAGCCAAATTTTAGCCAATGAAGCCTATCAAAAATAAATCCAATCAACTAAAAGTTCCAGTAACAAAGTTGGACAAAAACTATGTCAAATACAAAATATCTTGTGCTGCCTAATAGCGTTAATTATGTACGTAAAACGTCGGCATCACTGAAACCAGGACTGAATGAACTTCGGCGATTAACTAAGCGTCAAACCTCAGGGATACAAAAATGTCAAAATTTGGAAACAAATTCATTGATAGCAGTACACACAGAACGTAATATCTATTGAGGCATCTTTAAGCTTGACATGAGCAAATGAAAGGAAAGATTGATGACTGAACTCCTGTTCATACAAGTCACACCTGTTGCATAAAATAAAGCTGACGCAGATCAACTGTCAACAACGTGGAACATAGTATTGAAAAGAATGGCAGATCTGCGGAATGAAAACATTATACATGTATGAATCTCTCCATAAATGTGTGGGGAAATAATTCCAAGCACTGGTGTGATCACCGCAAGTAATTTTGCTCAATATATCACCAAAATAACAAGCATCATTGTGTTTAAATATTCATTACAAATATATTTATAATAAATAAATAGATTGAAGATCATTGTTACGAATAACTTTAAAGGCCAGACTATCAAGTGCTGAGATAACCAACATAGTTGTTTATCTCATCATAATGGTTACATTTTATAAGAGATATGTATCGATGATATAGTCATTATATATGAAAAGACCAACAATGCTATCTGCCTGCTACAGAACAGTAACACTGGTAAAATCACATTTACATTACCTGTGAACAAGAGACAAACATCAGCTATCCTTCTGTGACACTGTGGTTAATCGATGGGAGGATGGCTCATCTAGAAGGTCAATCTATAACATAGACAAAGCAATATGCTAGTTTCCACAGCGGTTGCCCAGTTCAATATAAACGCGGTTGAGTTAGATGCTTATTGAGCAGGATGAACCGCATCTGCATGGATGATAAGAAGGAGGAGGAAGTTAATTTACTGACGGCGACACTGATACAGAATGGCTGCTGATTGAAATTTATCGGTGGGTGCAGAAGTGATGTAGTATTGAGAAGTGTGCAGTGTTTCGTTTATCAGGAAAGTGTGCACATTTCACTACTACAATTTGGAGGTGATTCAGACAGGTTTATTGTGAGGAAAGGCTTAGATCAGGCATCTGTAAACCATATTATGCAGTGAGGGTCATCATTATGGAAGAGATAAAGTCTATGTTATAACACAAACCAAAACAGCATCTAAGCGACTGAATCATATCACAGTGTGTTAATCAGTTTACACGTGTGTCTATGTACGTGTGTTTGTATACGAAAACAATCTGTACTCACGCTGAACCTACCTTGGTAGTATTCATTCCAGTTTTCATACCACGAGTAACGTGATTTTGTTTTTTATCCGCCCTTCCTATTTCTATGTTTCCTAGGGCCTTAATTGACCCTTTTCATTGATTTTCACACAAATGGTTCAACAAGTTCATACATAATCAGATTGTTCGAAATACATAGTGCCAATACATCAAATGTTTCATATGATCTTCATCTTCTCATTACGCTGTTTAAACTACTAATCACATTTCATTATTTGGTTATTTCAGAGACTGCATGAGTGGCCTTCACGGTTACTCTGCATTTCAGTTTTGAAATATGAAAAAAGTTAATTTTTTAAAAATTGTGTTAGCTTAGTTCATGAAAACAATTTCTTTCTTTTTTCAATACTATCGAACTAGACAAAGGAAAACAATGCTGTGCATTATCGTCTAACCTTGAGCAATTTTATTTGTCACGTCACTGCGATTCCACTAGGAGCTCTCATTATTGTCTTCATCTCAGATAAATGGTTGATATTCTCGTTTGGCCGACTATGTGTTGTTCTTCAGATGATTCTGGCATCCGCTTCGTGTAAGTTTTTTCAAAAAATAATAATTTGACTCTGATAAGCTTAGCGTCAGTGCCCCGTTACATAGCACTATGCGGAAATGTGCTTTCTGAATACTCTGTGCATACTGCCGTATGTGAATACAGAATTTTTATTCACTAGGCGTGTGAATGAAATCACATCTGAAGTAACCAGGGATTATCAATATACGATCTATATTATTTTGACAGTTCTGTAGCGTTTCTCCACTGTCAAACAAAATGAATTTGTGCCGTTATGTTAATTGTATGGCTTAGAAACTGTTCAGTATACTTTAGTTTGTTGTGACAGAAAGACTTTTGCAACTTCCCATGAAGAATCCTGAATCTATGTTTTTCAGGGGATAACAAACAAGTCAGAAATAACCAGTTATCGTGAGTAATAATACATTAATTATTGATGTGAGACAGTGAAGAAATATTTTTAGTTGGTGAAAGCTGGTTGGTTTTTAGACAATAAATGCACTAACTAGGCCTTCTGGCAGTCATGAAGCCAGGTTCAAAAGACTGCAGAGAACAGAGTGCAACGGAGACGTGGTACTGAAGCCCTATCTTCCACCGGGAACCCAAGGGACAAATAAATACAATGATAATGCTATGACTGGCCATCTAGGGAGGAAAATGCAGTTATTTTGTTCGTAAATCTTTGGTGCTTTAATGCGAGTTGGCAAATAGATGTTAACCAATGAAGCGATCAGGTCATACAAGTGGGAAAATATCCATGCTTGCAAACTGTAGCTAAGCAAGGAAACATAATACTGTAACGCACTCCACCTTAAAGAGTGACTTCAAAGGCCAACTTAACAACTACTGAACTAACCAGTTACGCTTCTGCATGTTCCCATTCTAAGTGGAGAAATCTAATTAGTTGTTTCAGTCATTGCTAGTGTGGCCTTTCAACTCACTCACCAAATCCACGTCACAGTGAAGAAGTCGAATGTAGCATGACTGAAAGACCACCCCAGCAACTCCCAAAATAGTCAGTCACGTATCAGTGTTGAGGCGGAGAGGTAGTTTTTCGCAAAACAGAGGAACCTAATTGGTTATCTCGGTAGTAGTTAGAGTGAAATTTGAAGTCGTTCGAAGGCTGTGACTCTAAAGTCACCTTAACAACAGATGAAATGACCAATTAGACATTCCCATTTTGTGAATTTCAGCCATTCCAACATAAAAGAAGAAATGTAATTGGCCACTCCATTCACTTTCATGATGCCCTTACGAAGCTCTCCATAAATGTACCTTGTCTCCTTGCGAAAACTGGGCACTAAATTTCGAAAATTACTGAGGTTTCAAAGATAATCGGAGTTTGTATGACAGTTTTATATTGAATAAATTAGAAAGGTATGTTTAAATATCACGACCACAACATTCACGCCTAAAATTAAATTCCCAGTTATTCGTAGAGTGACTCTCAAGGTCACCATAGCAACTGTTGAAATAACCAACCAGGTTTCCGCATGTAGGCTGATTAGGCAGCTTTGACACAACGGTAGACCGTAATTGTTTATCTCAGCAGTCGTTTGTAAAGTCTTTAGAAATACTCCAATACTTATGATCACGAGTAGTTATTTCGCTTAAAATGTCTATAAATCTTTGAAATCTGATCAGTGTGCCAAAACACTCATTTCAATAAGGGGGAACAATAACAAAACTTCAGAATAGGATGAACTCATACTATTTGGTCGCCATTCTTTCAACTAAGTACAGGCAATATAAGCTGGCACATAAATCCACGAAAATGCAATCTACGTGGCTTGTTGATTGAATCGAACCTAGTCGATTGGTCGGAAATAATGAAAGGAGTGATATGTATTGAAGAATTCCAATTGAAAGGATTCAGTGACTTGAATTCGAGTTGTACAATGCTTATTCAGCCTGAGTGTTATTCGTCTACAATTTGACAAACCCTTTATAAATGGAATGGGAAAGATCGCATGAGGTCATGTAATCAGTTACTGCTCTGCATAAAAGGTTAATGTCAAATCCGTCAGGGTCAAACAATGAGACTGTGAAGAGAAATAATGGGAATCTATCATGAGGTCGAATGTGAGATGGGTATGCAAATGCAAACTGTTGAAAGACTCTGAATGAGTTCATAGTGACTAACAAAAGAAATCAGAGGATACCATGGAAGTTAGAGGCCAACAGCTGCCTTTTCAGAACACGATCTCAGCTTAATCCTTCTGATGGCAGTTGCTTTTGAAAATCTCAGCAAATTGGCAGTGTTTTGTCATTCGCCTTTTTCAGACGCAGTTCAGATATGGATGTCCTATCCTATATCTATCAAATGATTAGTAATGAGTCTCTCAGAAGAGTTCAACCGCTTATTAGCATGGTCAGTCCACAGTGATTTACAAACTGCCTGATCTGTGTTGACGCTACACACAATTGAGTAGTTTTTAAAATGCTTAACTGTGGTGTCAACAGTCAGTCTATACAATTCGGTTCTGTGGGCTGAATTCGTCTGCAAACACCACTCTGATAAGCTCGGCCAAAACGAGCGAATCAGTTATCCTGTGTTAAGATCCCTTTGATATGTCTAGCGAAATCCACTGATCAGCGCTGGTGGTTATCAACCACTCGCCTCATTCACTTCTACAACTTAACCCATTTTCGTCTCACTTATTTGTAATGCATTTAGGAAATCCACTATTCGTCCTTCCCTTATACATATTCTGATGCGAACACATGAATTCTTAAGTGCAGTCTTAGGTATCGTGGACTAGAAACCCACAGAATTTTGACTGTTTCTAGTGAACATATTTTAGGATCGAAAGACTAGTTGGTTTACTGTGAAAGTGATTTCCAATGCAGCTCTTATTTTTCTATGAACCTCGTTATTCCCTCCGTCAATTTTTATAGTTAGACAGTGGAGCTTGGGTTTGTTTTCGAGACTATCGAGTCGATGAGCTTCTGATGTTCTGTTTTTTCCTTATCTATATAATTCTGTGGGTAAACATTTCTTGTCAAATATCCCTCCTTGAACTAAAACCTCTTACTCACTCTTTTTCTGACTGACACAATTGTCTAGCAGTATGAAAAACCGTTTCTTTTATTCCCTGCTTATAACCCATAAGATAGAAACTGTATGAATTCGGTAAAATGGAGACGAAATTTCATGGATTCATCGTGTTCTGCAAAATGTGTTGTGATTACTTCACCTATATCTATGAAAGGAGGCAATTGTCTGAAATTTCTGATGAGACAACTCCCGTGTGAAACTATGCAATTATTCATTTTAAGTTTAATTTCAACAAACTGACTCTTTTTACAATACTAAAACCTTTCTGTTGACCAAGTTTGCAATATGGATACTGAAATGAGCGTTAATTTTATTGCTACATTCTTGAGAGTAGGTAGCATAACACTGGTTTTGAACCAAAAGAAGTTAAGTAAGTTTTAGTATATTGAAATTAGTGTGGTTTAACAGTACAAACAGTACAAACAATCCACATACCCAGATCGTTAATATATAACAATGACAATCACTTTCATCCACATTTCAAGTGAATATGCTACACGAATTTGTCCATTCTGTTGAGATAACTTTTACCTACTAATCAATAATTGCTCATCATAAGTGCATTAGCCAGTGAACAGTGAAGTTATAAAACGTCATCATTAAGAAGTACATAGTTGTTGATTTTGTAGGCTGTTAGATGATATGAGGTCACCTACGGTTAAATGAGATATTTTGAATATATTTTTATTTTCATAAATCTCTGCAAAGTGTATTGTGGTTAGATTTTGAAATTACTACTGTTGAAACAATAATGTTATACAACGCAAGATTTTTTTTCCCTGTTGCAACAGAACTGTGGTCAGTTATGAAACGTCTTCAATATTAAAGACACATTTTGACAGTTGAAAAGATATTCATAGTAGATTGTCAATTAGTTCTAGATGGTAATAGAAAAGCTGGTTATGTATGTGACTTGAATTTGTAATTTGAAGTATTGAGAATAAAATTGTTGCCAGAAGCAAAGAACTCTTGAATTGGAAAGGAGAGTGTGGATACAAAGCATCAAAATTGAAGGTGGATACTGATTTTGTTTTTTATATCTGACCCTGATACTATTGTAAGTCATTTGAGTGTAACTGTTGACTTTATACATAACCTGTCAGAAAATTTTCTATTTCCTGATTCTTTCCAGTTGTACACTTCAACAAAATCGGTCTTCAAGTTTTGCGTGCTAAAGATTTCTTCTACATTAAAAGTTATGAACCTGTAAGTTGAATAGATCTTTTTTCTCTTAAAGTAATATACTGCTAAGTGGACACTGTAAGCGTAATTCTCTAATCGAATCGGGTGAAAACTCACCTACAAAAATAGATTATCGTAAAGGAAACCTTTTCATAATTCTGTCGATTTAAAACAAAGATATTTTGTATGCTGAGGAAATGAGATTAGAAATTGATGGACCAAAAATATCGAAATGACAGGAATTCATAAAATGTGAGTGAAAATCATTGCTAACTTATGATGTTAAATAAAAACGTTGAGTGTTGCAAAAATTGATGAGGAATGTAGGAAAGGAATTGGGAAATCGTGTCCAACAGATTACATAACACATGAAGGAATTGGTAAGATTGAGATTAACATGAACTGTGATTGGATATCTGAAGGTCAGTCAGGAAGATGATGCAACTTAAATGAAACAAAAACTATAACCATAGTGACCCTCGGTATAAAAGTGTTATCAAAACTTTATATGTATGCTCAAGACTGGTTGAAAACATTTAACGGAAATAGCCTAAGTGTAGTGAAGCAATTAAAACACCTAGACATTTAGCCATTTAAGTGCACTAGAAACATCGTTCCGATAAACCATACCTATAAAGTGTCTGCCAACTGCACTGTGCTAATTCTCTAAAATGCGCTTAGATGCAATGAAAGAGACCTTCTTTTCCATCTTTCCAATGTAATTCCTACCGTATGTCTGTTTAGAATTTAACTAAAGGGAAGAATGAACGGGATTTTTATTCACTTTTAACTACTCCATAGAACACATGGATTTGTATCCCGGCCAAAGATTCTCAGTAGTCAGTGAACATGGAAATAAAATGACAGCGACGGTTAATTATGACAAACACTTCAAGTTGGTAAAAGATTCCTGTAAGCAGTTTTCACAAAAATAATACACTGACATATTTCGTTAAGTGTAGGTGACAAGAATTTACTGTCGAAACCATACAAGAAACTGATACTAAGGTCAGTTATTGCCTTAAACAAATTTCATCATAATGTATAAAAATGATATCAGTTGAGTGTATAAATTTACCAAAGCCATTAATTACTATGCTTAAATCGATGCATCCTTCATGTGTTGAGGAACAATTTCTGCTTTCATAAAACCTTTGGTGGTGGTGCTGATTACAATTTCCATACCGAACTTTGTGTGCATTGGATAATTTGTTTTTGCAATGCTCTTATCAACCCTTTTTAACAATCAGTGTCCTGCTGACTTATTCTACTGATTTCCGGATATTCATATTCATAATCTGGCGAGTATTTGCATGACAAAATTATTTCGAAAGTTTAATTGTAGTGAACCACATGCTCCGTATGCTCATCACCCCCTCCCCCTTAGGTTGTCGAAATATATTTAATCTACTCATCTCTGTCAAGCGTTTTTACACTAAAACAAGTGTGAATTGGGAATTCAGTTTTCCCTTGAATAATTTAGTACACCTTGAACGATAGTCGTGAATGAACTACTAAGGTACTGAAAACACGTTCAATTACTAGCTGGTATCAATTCCTGATTAGCTATAGTTTCAAGTATATCAGTTGCTATAAAAGGCCAACTGGATGGTTTCACAAAACATGACTAATTTGTTGGTCTGTTGGGATTTGTTGATCTGATAGTGAATTTCAACACAGTTTGATATCTGTTAGAGAATCAATGAAACTGGGAGGGAGTGGGGGGTGTGGGGTGTGTGGGGGTATTCGATATTTGTTTCATCCTAGTCTGTGACTGCTGAGAAGAGTACACTAATGACCTGATATAGAATAGAAACATGACAGTCATCTACAATGACCAGTATATTACCCTTCAGTTTGCAATCTGAAATTGAACGGCTCAATTTCATGTAGGCATACACTAATTAAGAATTCGCATAAGGTTTTCCCTTGTTTTACTAGAACAAAATTATTCTAAGTGATGCTTTGAAGAACACTCAGTATGTCGTAAGTGTCATTTCGTCTATTGTATTCCAGATGGTGAACAGCCATCATTCATTTCTTCTGTCATAATGGTAGTTTACAATGCAGGCTGCAACCACATAGTAAATTACCAACTGTGGTCCACTGCAGGAAGTAAAACAGTGATGAACCATCCTTAGAAACATAAGTTACTCAGTATTCTATATGCAAAAGAGGTTATGTTTTCTTTACAGCCTTGTTCACCTTAGACCTGTTGGCTACTTTCTATTTCCTTGCGAGGCATTATTTCAAGACTTTTCAGTTTTACCGATGAATTCCTCGGTAATTGGAACAAATCATTTCTCGCTTATTTCAATTCCTAACCTGTGAAAAACTTCACATAAAAGTACAGCAGATTTCTAGTCTTCTGTTTATAAAATTGTTCTTTGACTCCTCTTTTGAACAGAGTTGTACCTACTTAATGACTTGACTCATAATGTGTATTGCGACTCACAATTTCATTTAATGTCTGAAGAAGTACTATGATGTATGCGTGGGTTTTCTGAAAGTCTTCTGGAAAACTGGTTTACAGGTGATTTCCTTCTTCTACATCAGAGGTTGTCCATATGACTTACAAATTTTATTTCATCACTGATAATCGATTACTTGTTTGTATGCATAAAGCATGACTTCCAATCGCAGCTCAAGAAGTTCTAAGAGAATAGCATACTTGAGTTGTTATTATTACCACAGTAGATAAAATATTTATTAATAGCATTCTTGTACACAATCCTTGATAAAATGTATTTGTTCCATGAGAAGTTACAAAAATAGTTACTAGGCTGTTACCCCATAAAGGGTTAGGGATTATGATGTAAATTGTACTCAGTAAAAGGACACTTATTTATGAGAATATGAACGATTGAAGGTTCAGACAAATGAATCTGTGATTATACCGAACGCTTCTGTATGCCATAGTGGATAATATCGTCAGATATTTATTCACGAATGTTAACCTAGTAGATTAGGATAGACATTTATTCTAAGGAGTGGTACACGTGATATTTTAGTACATCTTGTTTCTGATCGAAAGTGACACGTCTTTTCATACCTTAAAAAATAATGTTCACTTTTCGAATGTTCAATGTTTATTGGATAGGTAATAATCCAAAGTATTTGTGATTTTATCTTAATAACATCAATACGATTAAATTACGATCAGCATATATAATATATGACACAAAGTGACTGCATTGTGTTTGCGTTGTCAGATTTTCACACTATTCATTGACTGATTTCACTTAAGATATGTGGAAAGCATAATGCAAATTGGTTGTACAAGGCTAGGAAAGACTGATTGAATAATAAGTTGTATTCATGTTATTCTCCACCAACGTTTCTCTTTACTTACTAGAGAGGTCCACATTTATTTTTAATGAATGTGCACTTCCATTAAATGTAGTTGCTGGATGCATCAAAACTCATTGATCAATATATACTGCGAGTTGAAAAGGAAATAGTCCTGAATCCGTGACATAACTATGACACTTCCTACCTTCAAAAGCTTTTCAATTCAAAATATACTAATACAGGATATCCATTGAACTAGAGGACAGCTTTTATGCCTATAATCAGTACGATGACTCGATTAATCTGTGAAAAGTGAACGCATTTAGCAGATTTTACCGCCAGTTTGATAGATTTGTTCCAACAAAAGGGAGACTTCAATATCCAAGATCTTTCCATCTATCCTCCCCGATGACATCGTCATTACTACATCTCATATGAAGTGAAGAAATGAGATCTCTTCCTCCTTCGTGTGTCATCCTGATGAAATGACCTGTGATTACTTGTCTCAACCAGCTTTCGTCTAATCATCTACATATACGTTCATACTGACCATTTCAAAGACACTCTTATGACTTATCATATTCCTTAATTGCTTGCTAAGATTCATCTGATCAGCTGTATATTTACCATCACTTTGATTTCTACCTTCTAGGAATACTTTGAAAACCTTAGTACTACTTCCATTCAAGGCTTTTCTTCACTTTCATAGTCACATTCATACTTATAATCGTTCACACGTAATGGCAGAAGATATGAGAAGTAATCAGCGGATACATGCCAAGGATTTCAGTTACCAACTGAAATGATCGACTCTCAAATCTATTAGGGAAAATGTTTACCAAATCCCAGTCACAGACGTATCTGAATCCCGTAAACTCCTCAAATAATCCGTAAAATGGAATGCTGAAAGTCCACGCTGTATAGTGTAAACTGTGATTGCATATGAGGGGTTACAATGATGTCACTCTATATATTGTGCCAGAATGATGTCTGTAAACAAATGTAATGTTATGCTGAGAAATGTGCATACCTCTATATATGGGAAGTTAAAAAATGCATTTCTCTCAAGATGGTTAAACCCTATTTGTATTGCTGAATTTATATCGGTCACATGCTCACCATTCTTCCCTCGTTCTTATCTACAGGGTTATGAGGAGTTTAAATGGAGTGCAGTCAGTGAATGGTTTGTTGTCTTCGGTTGTGTGGAGATAACATTTATAACAGCCATGGAGCTCCGTGAATTTGACCGATCAGATGTTGTATGAGCAGGAAATATGCGGTTGTGGTATAAAATCATGGGTCGATGCTGAAAATAAAAGTCTTCCCGGAGCTGTCTGTCATTGCTGAAACAGCTTTAAAGTACACTTACCTTCTCACTAAACATTCGTAAAGGTGATTTTGAAACTCAGAGGCTTGTAATTAAACCTTCTTCATGAAATTTATATAACTAAAAGATGAGAATCGTCAGAGTGACCAGCTTTGTGATCCTTGATTCTTGGTTCTGGTTACTCAATTCAACAGCGTAAATTACAAATATGAGAACAACTGTGCATAAAGTAGCTTGTTTTTCATTTTCTTTCAATCTCTTCTCTGATAGTTCACTGAGTATACCTTGTAAACACATCTATCTCATCTATGTGCTGTATACTGAGTACTCCACTTATACCGTTACATTGTACACCCCATTCATATGCTAAATCTGTGTACGCTAATGACATGTCTGTTCTCAATGAAACACTCATTTGTCAATTTATTCACACTCACTATGTGCGGTATTGCAAAACTGCAATGCATCAATCTGCACTCCTAAAAATCATGGTGCACAAGTCAACTGGTGTTTTTCAACGATCTAAATGCTTTTAACCTTCATACAGCGAATTGAAGGTACGCGTTTATACTTCGAGCGTGGCAACTCACCCCATATATGTTGTTGTAGGAAACAGGATCGATTCATTTCTGAAGAGAACTCATCGTTGAATGAATCCAGAATGACATTTTTAGTTGAAGGTTATTATGCTTTGCAAATAAAAATCTGTGCTTGACTGCTTAACAAAATTTCGTGGAGCATCGAGACGGGCTCTACACTAAATGCAAAAGATACTCCGTCAAATATCACCTACGATAATGTCTACACAGCATATACGACTGCAGTGTTTATCAGAATGTATAAATGTACAACATTTTACATTCAGAAGAGGCACATGCAAATCTGTAGACTAGTTTCCACTGGACAACTTACACCCGATTGCAAAACAAATGAGCAAATCATTCATTCAAATGCCCAAATATAGTGTGATGAACTCATGAACGCTGAGTCACCTTTACTGAATTAACACTTAACTAAAACAACAACAATAATAATGATGATAATTCAATTTTAGATTGTAATATACAAAGAAGTGTGTAATTATTGAAGGGAAGAAAGAAGAGTAAATCAAAAATAAAACCCAAAGTTTATAAGCTATGTTACTACTCTCATATGGTTATTTGGTTAGCAAGGAGGCAGTATGCGTTAGACAGTTTTATGAAAGCGAAAGTGACGCTGCTATCCTCTCTATTCAATTGTTGGATATCTCTAGTATACTTCTCTGAGAATATTACTCAAAAGAAAAGGAAGCGCCTTCTGTGTCTTCTCTACACAGTAACATCAAACATGAGGAAGAAAGAAGTCTATTCCATGTGGTGATGACAATAATTGCCAAACAATACAAATTTAGCATCTACTGGATAAATATTGAATGTGAGACAAAGTAGATGAACGTTACCCCCCGCCAACAGTTGCGAATTCACACAGAACACGTGCTTCATAATACAATGTGAGAAATGCGTAGGTGAATAGAATGATGCATCAATCATCAACAGTATATAACTCGAACGAATAGAAATAATAAGGGGTAGTATGCTCTCATATATAAGTCATTTCTCGAAAACCAATACTACCAACTCTTATAAATCGTGTGTTTCCACGCAGAAAGAAAATGTCAACAATCCTGTCAATAATTTATCCTGATATTGTATTTTCCTTGAAGTTAGTTGGGAATAGAGTACACAACTAAGAAAAATATATGAACCAGGTGAGATTTCACACACTTATTTAAATATCTAATGGATATTCACAGAGTTTCACAACGAATCCATGTACTTTAGCGTTTGAATAGTTTGAGGCTTTAACTCATGACATAGTTAATAGGGAATATACAAAATTTCTGTAAGAAAATGATTTTGCAACAGCAAAGTAAATAATATTTCAAGATTCTTATAGGTTATTTAGGAGATTTCATTCAGCAAAATTCCTCCTCAAAACAGACAGTTATAAACACATGAGAATAGGTGAAATACAGAGTTAGATATGTATGTGGTCAAATTATTTCATTATTGAAAGAAACAGTGTTACGAGTAAATGAAAATCCAATCAAACAGATGTTTACTTATGATGGGATAGTAATCAGTCCAATGTTATTTCTGAAATCTAACTAGTCCTAATTGAATCTTTCAGCGACTTGGATTGGATCAAGATACCAAGTAATAAAACGAAGTACATATACGGGAATCCCAAACAAAAAAATGAACGAATTACTGTTGAATGTAAGGTGCATGTCAATTTCATGTTCAGTCGTGGATTTTGTTGACAAACGATTAGGATTGCGAGAGGCTTCTCTGTCGTGTCTTTTTTAGCTGATACCGGTTTACTTAAAGTTACACTCAATAAGCTAGACTATTATTTTCTTTATGAGAATGATAACTTCATCGTTTTTACAACGACCTCGACAAAGGTGCTTTTATAATTTGCAACAATTTGAATCTTGCTATGAAATTCGCTTGTGAAGTAGAATATAGAAGCAGTTTATCGTTTCCAGTTATCCTTGTCATTCAGGAAAGGCAGTTTTATTAGAAATACTATATTTAGAAGAAACAAGTGGACTCGTAAATGTATCCATTTTTATAGTTTCACACTAATTAACTGCCGGCGAAACCTGCTCAAATGAATGCCTTACTTACAGACCTCGAAATATTTGTTCGAAATAACTGCATGCAGAAAGAACTAGTTATATAGCAAAGTAGTCATTCACTGAACTTCATTAATAAATGGATCTTAAAACCTAGACAAACTATAAATTAGGACAATGTTACAAAGAAGATATTATATATTAAATTAGTTTTCAGTGATATTGTCTTAGATGTAACGGTACACCAGCTGAGTAGATCTGTCAAAAATACATTCACAGTAGCAAATTTTCTCGTCAACTTCTAAATAAAGCCACTATTAATAAAGTGTATGAATTGAATTACTCCCATGGAGTTTATTACATGTACCATATTCAGATGGTCCTAGCTTTACGCGTTCGCGAGAAATGGGACAATGTGTACACAGCAAAGTTCTTTAGCACTTAGCAGGTAGCCGAGATCAAATAAAGTTAGACCAAGACTATTGATAGATATATCGTGTTCTTTGCAGTCCCTTGATGACTGGCAGGACTACGTCTCTTATCTATAGCCAAAACTAAAGGCATAGATCACCATGAGAACACAAGATGCTTTCAAGGGAAATATATTTGTCTTTACTGACTCTTGTCTAGAAAGTGTCAACATGCTCTTTGCTTACTTTCCTAAAACAAATTTCACGTTTATATCGATTATTTCATCTCAATTCTTTGCATTGTCTCCCTCATTTCATTGATAAAAGTTTACTTTGATGGGTTATTAGTAGTGTCACATTGTTTACGGATACTTCTACTACTAATCATTTTTTACTCCTTCCGTAACACTTTAAATTTGTTATTCCTTTATTTCGCTATTGTATTTACATGGCTTTTCTCCCTACTTGAACGAAACTCATTGCCACAACGATGATTTCATCCTGAAAGCGTAAGTTATTGAAAACAACTGTTCTCTGAAATTATTCCTTATTTTGGAAAAATAATTCAGACATTATCTTCCAAAATTAAACAGTTTCACACTTCTTTTTTAAAAAAAATGATATACAAATACAACCTACACAGTGATATCACTTTCATATATAACTGCTTAGTTACACCACAAGCGACTCCAGGTATTCATTCTAAACCGACCAATCTTTCTTATTCACCAGTTATTTTATACGACGTCTAGAACTCTGAAAATTAATGTCTTAATGATTGAAGGTAGTGTAACTATCTTGTTGGAAGTTATATAACATATCATCGGTAACCATGATCTGAATTCAGTTTGAGAAAATATCATTTCGGACATGGGCGCTGCTTTCTCTCCATCTCCTTTGGTTAATTTTAGGTGACAAAATACATTACTTTGTATTTGTTGAGATGCCCCAGTTTTGTATAAAAACATTGTTATTGATCTGAACATTTTAACGTGTCATTCCCATACTAATAGTCTATTTTCTGTCCCCACTGTAATGTAAATCGCTAATTGGCTAATCTTTACTCTTACTATGCAAATGCTTCAAATTGAGGACAAGGTCATTTTTCATGTGTGTACTTATTCACGTGTTTTGGATTGATTCATTATTATATTCTCGGAGTAATACACTCTCACATCATCCAGCTTCGGTCTTCTCTCTATTCGTTCCGGGGTTGCAGTCAGTGTCTCTTGCGTACCAAGTTAGCTGTCAGCTAAGCGCGCTTATTATATTCGTCCCGGATTATACATACACACTATTAGCACTTCGAAAACATAACAGTATTTACGTACACAAATGATTTAGGAGAAACAAACATTCATTTTTCCAGTAGACAGAAAATTACAATCAACTCGAGCATTATTTGAATTAATTTGACACATATGGGTATTATTATTATTTGTCTTTTGGGTTCCGAATGGAACATAGGGATTCAGTAGCACGTCTCCATTACACTCTATTCTCTGCAATTTTTTGAACCTGGCTCCACGACAGCCCACAAGCTCGCATTTTTTCCTCACACGATCTTCTCCATGTCACCCTCAACTCGTTGCTTCCCATCGGGCTTCCACTCGAGTGCCTGACCTGACGCCTGATGTCCCCAGTCACCCTTCTCAGTGTATGCCCAATCCATCTCCACTTCCTTCCACTCCATATTTCTTGAGTGACAGCTTCTTGGTTGGTTCCTTCCCAGAGCCCCTTGTTGCTTATTTTTTCTGGAAATCCATCTGATCTTCAGTAGCGAGCCAGTGTAGGCAGTTGTTGATGAATATCTGTAGTTTGTTGGAAATGCCTTTCGTAATGCGCCAAGCCTCTGAGCCATACAGGAGCACTGACTTGACTGGATTGGTGTTGAAAATCTGGATGTTGTTCCACATGATGAGTGCAGAAGATTTCCACACTGGTTTCAGGCAAATAAACGCCTATCTTGCTTTTCCGATTCTGACTTTGACATCCTCGTCTGTGCCTGTGCCGCCTGTAGTTGAAACAGTGCTGCCTAGATAGGTGTAGGTGAAGGAGGTTACTTCCTTTAAGTTTCTTCCGTTGATGGTGATTGGAGTTTGTTGTTGTTGGTTGGGTATCTTCATCACCTCTGTCTTCTCTATATTCACTTGAAGTCCCGTTTTCGCTGCCCTGCCTCTTGTGTCAGCTTGTTAGTTTTCGCCTGTAGATCTTCAAGTTTGTGTGACATCAGACACAAGTCATCGGCAAAGTCGAAATCTCCTAGGCTCTTGTCATCGGTCCAGCCAGCGTATCCCCCTCTTCTCGTTCCTCACTGTTTGTTGCATGATCCAGTCCACTACAATCAGGAATATCATGGGTGATAGTAGACAGCCTTGTTTCACTCCTGTCTTCACTTCTGAAGCATCACTGAGCCTCCCATTGTGATTTATATATTGATTAGTCAAGGGAGAGCAACTAATTTCATGTTGTCTAGTCCTGTGTGCAGACCGAATCTTATTAATTATATTTGCAATGTGGGCACCAAGCAAGGCGTTTCAGCATAGCGGTGCACATTAGTAGATGTTAGTTGGCTGGAGGACATTAACAGGAAGCTCTGGACGTTGGTTTCGTGCATGTTGGCACTCGTCACTATTATTTTAGAGTAGGTCACTACTTTTTAGATTTTCCAAAGAAGCAAGGCATTTCCTAGCAGTCTACACAATCGATCACGACATGCCAAAAATCCATGAAAGACCACGTAATCGTAAGCATAAGCTTCGAAATGATTCAATGTATCTTAAAGTGTAGAAAATATCAAAAGGGTTGAAATAATGAATGCACCGTTGCTTTTCAATACATTCTGATGTGAAAATACACCCTGAGTCGTTCTGTAGCTGCTTTCTGTTTTGAGGGGATTGAGCCGAACCACAAATGTGAAGCCGAAAGTTATCGTTCAAGAGTTCATATATATATATATATATATATATATATATATATATATATATATATATATATATATATATATATATATATATATATATATAGCTATATTACATCATATCTTGACGAGCATCATAATGAATTACAGTGTATTGCTTTAAAAATCAAACTGAATTGACTTCTTTGCTAGCAAAGATGATTTGTATTTCTATTCTATTTCGTTTTCACTGTCTAATTTCATGCTAATTGATGCTCGACCTAGACACTTATGAATTTGGTGTTTCAAATCACTTGTTTCTTTACATAGTACTTTCAGGTTATGTTAAAGTTATCAAAACGTGAAGGTTAAACGGTCTCAACAATCAAATAAACATATATCTGGAGATAAGAAACATCATTCAATCTGTAGGGGTGCGTGTTTTCTAGTTGTGTCGGTGTAGACGAAGGTGGGTCGTCTTCTATATAAGCTGACTTCAAACGATCGACACTTATGGAATCCTGTCGTCTAGATCTGTCAGTGACGAAAAACTCTTCTTTCTTGCAGAGAACCTTGAGAGGTCCGTCGTATGGTAGCTGTAAGGGTTTACGTACACCGTCACAAAGCACAAAGACGTGCGTGCAATCTTGGAGTCTTTTATCCAACTGCACCCGTCTACACTGTGTCCATGTGGATGGGGGTTGGAGGCGACGCATGTGAAGCCTAAGAGTTTGCGCATAGCCATGGATATCGGTAGGAGTTGGGTCACTACAATCTGATGCGATCATTTCACCCGGTAAACGTAAGTTACTGCCGCAAACTAACTCAGCAGGTGTACACTATATATCCGTCTTGAGTGTAGAAAGAATGCTAAGAAGAACCAACGGCAGAGACTCGGTCCATTTCATATTTTTGACTGCCAGTCTGGCGTAAACCTGTTTCAAGTGGTTAAAATGAGTGTCTTCGTCTGGACTAGCGGTTGGTATATCGTCTAAGTAGGCATAGGCGAAGTCGAGTCCACTTTAAACATCATGAATAAAACGTTGGAAGGTTTGTGCTGCGTTGCGAAGACCAAAGGGCATAAGAAGGAACTCAAAAAGACCAAACGGTGTAATGACGGCTGTCTTGGAAGCATCATCAGGATGAACCGGAATCTGATGATATGCACGCGTCAAGTCAAGCTTACTGAAGATAAACGAGCCTTTTAAAGATGCAGTCAAGTCATGTATATGAGGGACTGGATAACGATCTGTAATCGTCTTGGCGTTGAGCCTCCGGTAGTCACCACAAGGCCTCCAGTCCATACCATTGTTCTTTGGTACCAATTATGAGGGGTGCGAGGATCCCTTGAACCGACTGTGGTCACCTCTGTAACCACAGTTGCTTGAGAAATGCCTCATCAATGTTGAAGTCAGCAATCAGCTGCTTCATCTGACGAAGCAGTTGCGTCGGCTTGCGATCACCCAGATGCACATCCCTGAAAAGTGTTTGCACTTTCTGCTGGTCAGTAAGCGCAACACGTTTGATGAAGGCGGTTTTGAGGCGATCGTAAAGATTCGGTGCTGGGTCATCCAGCACGTCTGAGACGTCTTCGATCACATTTTCCGGTAAGCTGACGATGACTAAGTTGGACTTAGTTTCTTGTGATTGAATGTGTCTCAAGGAAAACTGAGCTTCCACATGGGAGAACTATGCAGATGGTCTGTGGGCCCAGAATGTGGGAAGCTGGAGGGTTACGGCCATCTGCGCGGTAGAGTAGTTACCAGCCGTTGATAAAGGAATTAACGAGGCACGATGATGATAATAAAAAAATTACAATGCAAAATAACCAGTGAGGAGTGCAATGAAAAAAACTCAAGACCGTGCCAAAAACGAAAATAGGCCAGATAAATCAAAACAAGAAAAAGCAAAGGCACTAGGCAAAGTAAAAGGTGATACTCGACCTCACCAATTTGTAGGGGTGAGTGTTACAATTCCGTAACGTTTGATCAACCCTACTTAATTTGATGTGTTCTAGTACCTGCTTAACCAGTACTTTAGCTAACGTGTAAGTACTGATAACAAAACACAAATCAAAAGAACTGGTAAGCAATGTATTTGAAGCAGCGATGTATTTAATCAAAGTAAATGTAATAATAATGAATGGGGGAAAAGTTTAATCAATTTATCTGGCTTGTAAGGCTGAACTAGGGACTCGGAGTACATGTGTGGTAATTAGCACACTGGAGCGCAAAATGGCGTCCAAGCCTGAACGGATGCATGCTCGTTAAAACAAAACTTAAAACACCCTAAGCATCCGGAGGCAAGCTAGGGATTTATTTGGTTAATTTAATTAGATCTATTTATTTTAGCCTTAGTTATATTTTGGTACCAGGAAGGTGCACTACAAGTCTATTTCACTAAATATGATTAGATCAGGATCAATTTCGTGATTTTCTTTTATACCTTATTCATCCTATCTTCGGCGCAGAGAAATTAAATAAAGGCTTCACTAGCTGATCATTTAATCGATTTTGGACTCGAAATGTGATACGTTCGTGTTCTGGTTGTGTTGTTGAAAGGTAACATATACTCAAGATACTTTGAAATTAGGTGTACTGCATTAATCCACTTTTGATGGGAAGCTGACACTGACAATGTTTCGAAAATTAACTTTCAGTTACGACTGAAACGGTCTTTCATAACTTTATTAAAATAATGATTATTCGATATACAATAATTATTCCTACGACTTGAACAACTTGAGACAGCCATTCTTTATACCAGCTTTTACACAAAAGTTATAAAACACGTAACAGTTTGCTGTTAAATATTTCTGTGCGAAATGTTTTAGACCACTATAATTAAGAATCAAAATTCCGCAAGTGCGTTCATATACATATACACCCGGCTAGATATCCATACTTCATAATACTCGTAACTGACTTATCGTTCGTTTGTTAAATATAAGTCGATCGGCCTTACGATATGATGGTAAAATTGTGTTTTTTACTAACTCCCTAAGTGAACTTCAATTGCACAAAGTGACGTCGAAAATTTAATCTGACAATAGACAAATAACATTGGACTGATTACTATCCCATCATAAGTAAACATCTGTTTGATTGGATTTTCATTTACTCGTAACACTGTTTCTTTCAATAATGAAATAATTTGACCACATACATATCTAACTCTGTATTTCACCTATTCTCATGTGTTTATAACTGTCTGTTTTGAGGAGGAATTTTGCTGAATGAAATCTCCTAAATAACCTATAAGAATCTTGAAATATTATTTACTTTGCTGTTGCAAAATCATTTTCTTACAGAAATTTTGTATATTCCCTATTAACTATGTCATGAGTTAAAGCCTCAAACTATTCAAACGCTAAAGTACATGGATTCGTTGTGAAACTCTGTGAATATCCATTAGATATTTAAATAAGTGTGTGAAATCTCACCTGGTTCATATATTTTTCTTAGTTGTGTACTCTATTCCCAACTAACTTCAAGGAAAATACAATATCAGGATAAATTATTGACAGGATTGTTGACATTTTCTTTCTGCGTGGAAACACACGATTTATAAGAGTTGGTAGTATTGGTTTTCGAGAAATGACTTATATATGAGAGCATACTACCCCTTATTATTTCTATTCGTTCGAGTTATATACTGTTGATGATTGATGCATCATTCTATTCACCTACGCATTTCTCACATTGTATTATGAAGCACGTGTTCTGTGTGAATTCGCAACTGTTGGCGGGGGGTAACGTTCATCTACTTTGTCTCACATTCAATATTTATCCAGTAGATGCTAAATTTGTATTGTTTGGCAATTATTGTCATCACCACATGGAATAGACTTCTTTCTTCCTCATGTTTGATGTTACTGTGTAGAGAAGACACAGAAGGCGCTTCCTTTTCTTTTGAGTAATATTCTCAGAGAAGTATACTAGAGATATCCAACAATTGAATAGAGAGGATAGCAGCGTCACTTTCGCTTTCATAAAACTGTCTAACGCATACTGCCTCCTTGCTAACCAAATAACCATATGAGAGTAGTAACATAGCTTATAAACTTTGGGTTTTATTTTTGATTTACTCTTCTTTCTTCCCTTCAATAATTACACACTTCTTTGTATATTACAATCTAAAATTGAATTATCATCATTATTATTGTTGTTGTTTTAGTTAAGTGTTAATTCAGTAAAGGTGACTCAGCGTTCATGAGTTCATCACACTATATTTGGGCATTTGAATGAATGATTTGCTCATTTGTTTTGCAATCGGGTGTAAGTTGTCCAGTGGAAACTAGTCTACAGATTTGCATGTGCCTCTTCTGAATGTAAAATGTTGTACATTTATACATTCTGATAAACACTGCAGTCGTATATGCTGTGTAGACATTATCGTAGGTGATATTTGACGGAGTATCTTTTGCATTTAGTGTAGAGCCCGTCTCGATGCTCCACGAAATTTTGTTAAGCAGTCAAGCACAGATTTTTATTTGCAAAGCATAATAACCTTCAACTAAAAATGTCATTCTGGATTCATTCAACGATGAGTTCTCTTCAGAAATGAATCGATCCTGTTTCCTACAACAACATATATGGGGTGAGTTGCCACGCTCGAAGTATAAACGCGTACCTTCAATTCGCTGTATGAAGGTTAAAAGCATTTAGATCGTTGAAAAACACCAGTTGACTTGTGCACCATGATTTTTAGGAGTGCAGATTGATGCATTGCAGTTTTGCAATACCGCACATAGTGAGTGTGAATAAATTGACAAATGAGTGTTTCATTGAGAACAGACATGTCATTAGCGTACACAGATTTAGCATATGAATGGGGTGTACAATGTAACGGTATAAGTGGAGTACTCAGTATACAGCACATAGATGAGATAGATGTGTTTACAAGGTATACTCAGTGAACTATCAGAGAAGAGATTGAAAGAAAATGAAAAACAAGCTACTTTATGCACAGTTGTTCTCATATTTGTAATTTACGCTGTTGAATTGAGTAACCAGAACCAAGAATCAAGGATCACAAAGCTGGTCACTCTGACGATTCTCATCTTTTAGTTATATAAATTTCATGAAGAAGGTTTAATTACAAGCCTCTGAGTTTCAAAATCACCTTTACGAATGTTTAGTGAGAAGGTAAGTGTACTTTAAAGCTGTTTCAGCAATGACAGACAGCTCCGGGAAGACTTTTATTTTCAGCATCGACCCATGATTTTATACCACAACCGCATATTTCCTGCTCATACAACATCTGATCGGTCAAATTCACGGAGCTCCATGGCTGTTATAAATGTTATCTCCACACAACCGAAGACAACAAACCATTCACTGACTGCACTCCATTTAAACTCCTCATAACCCTGTAGATAAGAACGAGGGAAGAATGGTGAGCATGTGACCGATATAAATTCAGCAATACAAATAGGGTTTAACCATCTTGAGAGAAATGCATTTTTTAACTTCCCATATATAGAGGTATGCACATTTCTCAGCATAACATTACATTTGTTTACAGACATCATTCTGGCACAATATATAGAGTGACATCATTGTAACCCCTCATATGCAATCACAGTTTACACTATACAGCGTGGACTTTCAGCATTCCATTTTACGGATTATTTGAGGAGTTTACGGGATTCAGATACGTCTGTGACTGGGATTTGGTAAACATTTTCCCTAATAGATTTGAGAGTCGATCATTTCAGTTGGTAACTGAAATCCTTGGCATGTATCCGCTGATTACTTCTCATATCTTCTGCCATTACGTGTGAACGATTATAAGTATGAATGTGACTATGAAAGTGGAGAAAAGCCTTGAATGGAAGCAGTACTAAGGTTTTCAAAGTATTCCTAGAAGGTTAGAAATCAAAGTGATGGTAAATATACAGCTGATCAGATGAATCTTAGCAAGCAATTAAGGAATATGATAAGTCATAAGAGTGTCTTTGAAATGGTCAGTATGAACGTATATGTAGATGATTAGACGAAAGCTGGTTGAGACAAGTAATCACAGGTCATTTCATCAGGATGACACACGAAGGAGGAAGAGATCTCATTTCTTCACTTCATATGAGATGTAGTAATGACGATGTCATCGGGGAGGATAGATGGAAAGATCTTGGATATTGAAGTCTCCCTTTTGTTGGAACAAATCTATCAAACTGGCGGTAAAATCTGCTAAATGCGTTCACTTTTCACAGATTAATCGAGTCATCGTACTGATTATAGGCATAAAAGCTGTCCTCTAGTTCAATGGATATCCTGTATTAGTATATTTTGAATTGAAAAGCTTTTGAAGGTAGGAAGTGTCATAGTTATGTCACGGATTCAGGACTATTTCCTTTTCAACTCGCAGTATATATTGATCAATGAGTTTTGATGCATCCAGCAACTACATTTAATGGAAGTGCACATTCATTAAAAATAAATGTGGACCTCTCTAGTAAGTAAAGAGAAACGTTGGTGGAGAATAACATGAATACAACTTATTATTCAATCAGTCTTTCCTAGCCTTGTACAACCAATTTGCATTATGCTTTCCACATATCTTAAGTGAAATCAGTCAATGAATAGTGTGAAAATCTGACAACGCAAACACAATGCAGTCACATTGTGTCATATATTATATATGTTGATCGTAATTTAATCGTATTGATGTTATTAAGATAAAATCACAAATACTTTGGATTATTACCTATCCAATAAACATTGAACATTCGAAAAGTGAACATTATTTTTTAAGGTATGAAAAGACGTGTCACTTTCGATCAGAAACAAGATGTACTAAAATATCACGTGTACCACTCCTTAGAATAAATGTCTATCCTAATCTACTAGGTTAACATTCGTGAATAAATATCTGACGATATTATCCACTATGGCATACAGAAGCGTTCGGTATAATCACAGATTCATTTGTCTGAACCTTCAATCGTTCATATTCTCATAAATAAGTGTCCTTTTACTGAGTACAATTTACATCATAATCCCTAACCCTTTATGGGGTAACAGCCTAGTAACTATTTTTGTAACTTCTCATGGAACAAATACATTTTATCAAGGATTGTGTACAAGAATGCTATTAATAAATATTTTATCTACTGTGGTAATAATAACAACTCAAGTATGCTATTCTCTTAGAACTTCTTGAGCTGCGATTGGAAGTCATGCTTTATGCATACAAACAAGTAATCGATTATCAGTGATGAAATAAAATTTGTAAGTCATATGGACAACCTCTGATGTAGAAGAAGGAAATCACCTGTAAACCAGTTTTCCAGAAGACTTTCAGAAAACCCACGCATACATCATAGTACTTCTTCAGACATTAAATGAAATTGTGAGTCGCAATACACATTATGAGTCAAGTCATTAAGTAGGTACAACTCTGTTCAAAAGAGGAGTCAAAGAACAATTTTATAAACAGAAGACTAGAAATCTGCTGTACTTTTATGTGAAGTTTTTCACAGGTTAGGAATTGAAATAAGCGAGAAATGATTTGTTCCAATTACCGAGGAATTCATCGGTAAAACTGAAAAGTCTTGAAATAATGCCTCGCAAGGAAATAGAAAGTAGCCAACAGTTCTAAGGTGAACAAGGCTGTAAAGAAAACATAACCTCTTTTGCATATAGAATACTGAGTAACTTATGTTTCTAAGGATGGTTCATCACTGTTTTACTTCCTGCAGTGGACCACAGTTGGTAATTTACTATGTGGTTGCAGCCTGCATTGTAAACTACCATTATGACAGTAGAAATGAATGATGGCTGTTCACCATCTGGAATACAATAGACGAAATGACACTTACGACATACTGAGTGTTCTTCAAAGCATCACTTAGAATAATTTTGTTCTAGTAAAACAAGGGAAAACCTTATGCGAATTCTTAATTAGTGTATGCCTACATGAAATTGAGCCGTTCAATTTCAGATTGCAAACTGAAGGGTAATATACTGGTCATTGTAGATGACTGTCATGTTTCTATTCTATATCAGGTCATTAGTGTACTCTTCTCAGCAGTCACAGACTAGGATGAAGCAAATATCGAATACCCCCACACACCCCACACCCCCCACTCCCTCCCAGTTTCATTGATTCTCTAACAGATATCAAACTGTGTTGAAATTCACTATCAGATCAACAAATCCCAACAGACCAACAAATTAGTCATGTTTTGTGAAACCATCCAGTTGGCCTTTTATAGCAACTGATATACTTGAAACTATAGCTAATCAGGAATTGATACCAGCTAGTAATTGAACGTGTTTTCAGTACCTTAGTAGTTCATTCACGACTATCGTTCAAGGTGTACTAAATTATTCAAGGGAAAACTGAATTCCCAATTCACACTTGTTTTAGTGTAAAAACGCTTGACAGAGATGAGTAGATTAAATATATTTCGACAACCTAAGGGGGAGGGGGTGATGAGCATACGGAGCATGTGGTTCACTACAATTAAACTTTCGAAATAATTTTGTCATGCAAATACTCGCCAGATTATGAATATGAATATCCGGAAATCAGTAGAATAAGTCAGCAGGACACTGATTGTTAAAAAGGGTTGATAAGAGCATTGCAAAAACAAATTATCCAATGCACACAAAGTTCGGTATGGAAATTGTAATCAGCACCACCACCAAAGGTTTTATGAAAGCAGAAATTGTTCCTCAACACATGAAGGATGCATCGATTTAAGCATAGTAATTAATGGCTTTGGTAAATTTATACACTCAACTGATATCATTTTTATACATTATGATGAAATTTGTTTAAGGCAATAACTGACCTTAGTATCAGTTTCTTGTATGGTTTCGACAGTAAATTCTTGTCACCTACACTTAACGAATTATGTCAGTGTATTATTTTTGTGAAAACTGCTTACAGGAATCTTTTACCAACTTGAAGTGTTTGTCATAATTAACCGTCGCTGTCATTTTATTTCCATGTTCACTGACTACTGAGAATCTTTGGCCGGGATACAAATCCATGTGTTCTATGGAGTAGTTAAAAGTGAATAAAAATCCCGTTCATTCTTCCCTTTAGTTAAATTCTAAACAGACATACGGTAGGAATTACATTGGAAAGATGGAAAAGAAGGTCTCTTTCATTGCATCTAAGCGCATTTTAGAGAATTAGCACAGTGCAGTTGGCAGACACTTTATAGGTATGGTTTATCGGAACGATGTTTCTAGTGCACTTAAATGGCTAAATGTCTAGGTGTTTTAATTGCTTCACTACACTTAGGCTATTTCCGTTAAATGTTTTCAACCAGTCTTGAGCATACATATAAAGTTTTGATAACACTTTTATACCGAGGGTCACTATGGTTATAGTTTTTGTTTCATTTAAGTTGCATCATCTTCCTGACTGACCTTCAGATATCCAATCACAGTTCATGTTAATCTCAATCTTACCAATTCCTTCATGTGTTATGTAATCTGTTGGACACGATTTCCCAATTCCTTTCCTACATTCCTCATCAATTTTTGCAACACTCAACGTTTTTATTTAACATCATAAGTTAGCAATGATTTTCACTCACATTTTATGAATTCCTGTCATTTCGATATTTTTGGTCCATCAATTTCTAATCTCATTTCCTCAGCATACAAAATATCTTTGTTTTAAATCGACAGAATTATGAAAAGGTTTCCTTTACGATAACCTGTTTTTGTAGGTGAGTTTTCACCCGATTCGATTAGAGAATTACGCTTACAGTGTCCACTTAGCAGTATATTACTTTAAGAGAAAAAAGATCTATTCAACTTACAGGTTCATAACTTTTAATGTAGAAGAAATCTTTAGCACGCAAAACTTGAAGACCGATTTTGTTGAAGTGTACAACTGGAAAGAATCAGGAAATAGAAAATTTTCTGACAGGTTATGTATAAAGTCAACAGTTACACTCAAATGACTTACAATAGTATCAGGGTCAGATATAAAAAACAAAATCAGTATCCACCTTCAATTTTGATGCTTTGTATCCACACTCTCCTTTCCAATTCAAGAGTTCTTTGCTTCTGGCAACAATTTTATTCTCAATACTTCAAATTACAAATTCAAGTCACATACATAACCAGCTTTTCTATTACCATCTAGAACTAATTGACAATCTACTATGAATATCTTTTCAACTGTCAAAATGTGTCTTTAATATTGAAGACGTTTCATCACTGACCACAGTTCTGTTGCAACAGGGAAAAAAAATCTTGCGTTGCATAACATTATTGTTTCAACAGTAATTATTTCAAAATCTAACCACAATACACTTTGCAGAGATTTATGAAAATAAAAATATATGCAAAATATCTCATTTAACCGTAGGTGACCTCATATCATCTAACAGCCTACAAAATTCAACAACTATGTACTTCTTAATGATGACGTTTTATAACTTCACTGTTCACTGGCTAATGCACTTATGATGAGCAATTATTGATTAGTAGGTAAAAGTTATCTCAACAGAATGGACAAATTCGTGTAGCATATTCACTTGAAATGTGGATGAAAGTGATTGTCATTGTTATATATTAACGATCTGGGTATGTGGATTGTTTGTACTGTTTGTACTGTTAAACCACACTAATTTCAATATACTAAAACTTACTTAACTTCTTTTGGTTCAAAACCAGTGTTATGCTACCTACTCTCAAGAATGTAGCAATAAAATTAACGCTCATTTCAGTATCCATATTGCAAACTTGGTCAACAGAAAGGTTTTAGTATTGTAAAAAGAGTCAGTTTGTTGAAATTAAACTTAAAATGAATAATTGCATAGTTTCACACGGGAGTTGTCTCATCAGAAATTTCAGACAATTGCCTCCTTTCATAGATATAGGTGAAGTAATCACAACACATTTTGCAGAACACGATGAATCCATGAAATTTCGTCTCCATTTTACCGAATTCATACAGTTTCTATCTTATGGGTTATAAGCAGGGAATAAAAGAAACGGTGTTTCATACTGCTAGACAACTGTGTCAGTCAGAAAAAGAGTGAGTAAGAGGTTTTAGTTCAAGGAGGGATATTTGACAAGAAATGTTTACCCACAGAATTATATAGATAAGGAAAAAACAGAACATCAGAAGCTCATCGACTCGATAGTCTCGAAAACAAACCCAAGCTCCACTGTCTAACTATAAAAATTGACGGAGGGAATAACGAGGTTCATAGAAAAATAAGAGCTGCATTGGAAATCACTTTCACAGTAAACCAACTAGTCTTTCGATCCTAAAATATGTTCACTAGAAACAGTCAAAATTCTGTGGGTTTCTAGTCCACGATACCTAAGACTGCACTTAAGAATTCATGTGTTCGCATCAGAATATGTATAAGGGAAGGACGAATAGTGGATTTCCTAAATGCATTACAAATAAGTGAGACGAAAATGGGTTAAGTTGTAGAAGTGAATGAGGCGAGTGGTTGATAACCACCAGCGCTGATCAGTGGATTTCGCTAGACATATCAAAGGGATCTTAACACAGGATAACTGATTCGCTCGTTTTGGCCGAGCTTATCAGAGTGGTGTTTGCAGACGAATTCAGCCCACAGAACCGAATTGTATAGACTGACTGTTGACACCACAGTTAAGCATTTTAAAAACTACTCAATTGTGTGTAGCGTCAACACAAATCAGGCAGTTTGTAAATCACTGTAGACTGACCATGCTAATAAGCGGTTGAACTCTTCTGAGAGACTCATTACTAATCATTTGATAGATATAGGATAGGACATCCATATCTGAACTGCGTCTGAAAAAGGCGAATGACAAAACACTGCCGATTTGCTGAGATTTTCAAAAGCAACTGCCATCAAAAGGATTAAGCTGAGATCGTGTTCTGAAAAGGCAGCTGTTGGCCTCTAACTTCCATGGTATCCTCTGATTTCTTTTGTTAGTCACTATGAACTCATTCAGAGTCTTTCAACAGTTTGCATTTGCATACCCATCTCACATTCGACCTCATGATAGATTCCCATTATTTCTCTTCATAGTCTCATTGTTTGACCCTGACGGATTTGACATTAACCTTTTATGCAGAGCAGTAACTGATTACATGACCTCATGCGATCTTTCCCATTCCATTTATAAAGGGTTTGTCAAATTGTAGACGAATAACACTCAGGCTGAATAAGCATTGTACAACTCGAATTCAAGTCACTGAATCCTTTCAATTGGAATTCTTCAATACATATCACTCCTTTCATTATTTCCGACCAATCGACTAGGTTCGATTCAATCAACAAGCCACGTAGATTGTATTTTCGTGGATTTATGTGCCAGCTTATATTGCCTGTACTTAGTTGAAAGAATGGCGACCAAATAGTATGAGTTCATCCTATTCTGAAGTTTTGTTATTGTTCCCCCTTATTGAAATGAGTGTTTTGGCACACTGATCAGATTTCAAAGATTTATAGACTTTGAGCGAAATAACTACCCGTGATCATAAGTATTGGAGTATTTCTAAAGACTTTACAAACGACTGCTGAGATAAACAATTACGGTCTATCGTTGTGTCAAAGCTGCCTAATCAGCCTACATGCGGAAACCTGGTTGGTTATTTCAACAGTTGCTATGGTGACCTTGAGAGTCACTCTACGAATAACTGGGAATTTAATTTTAGGCGTGAATGTTGTGGTCGTGATATTTAAACATACCTTTCTAATTTATTCAATATAAAACTGTCATACAAACTCCGATTATCTTTGAAACCTCAGTAATTTTCGAAATTTAGTGCCCAGTTTTCGCAAGGAGACAAGGTACATTTATGGAGAGCTTCGTAAGGGCATCATGAAAGTGAATGGAGTGGCCAATTACATTTCTTCTTTTATGTTGGAATGGCTGAAATTCACAAAATGGGAATGTCTAATTGGTCATTTCATCTGTTGTTAAGGTGACTTTAGAGTCACAGCCTTCGAACGACTTCAAATTTCACTCTAACTACTACCGAGATAACCAATTAGGTTCCTCTGTTTTGCGAAAAACTACCTCTCCGCCTCAACACTGATACGTGACTGACTATTTTGGGAGTTGCTGGGGTGGTCTTTCAGTCATGCTACATTCGACTTCTTCACTGTGACGTGGATTTGGTGAGTGAGTTGAAAGGCCACACTAGCAATGACTGAAACAACTAATTAGATTTCTCCACTTAGAATGGGAACATGCAGAAGCGTAACTGGTTAGTTCAGTAGTTGTTAAGTTGGCCTTTGAAGTCACTCTTTAAGGTGGAGTGCGTTACAGTATTATGTTTCCTTGCTTAGCTACAGTTTGCAAGCATGGATATTTTCCCACTTGTATGACCTGATCGCTTCATTGGTTAACATCTATTTGCCAACTCGCATTAAAGCACCAAAGATTTACGAACAAAATAACTGCATTTTCCTCCCTAGATGGCCAGTCATAGCATTATCATTGTATTTATTTGTCCCTTGGGTTCCCGGTGGAAGATAGGGCTTCAGTACCACGTCTCCGTTGCACTCTGTTCTCTGCAGTCTTTTGAACCTGGCTTCATGACTGCCAGAAGGCCTAGTTAGTGCATTTATTGTCTAAAAACCAACCAGCTTTCACCAACTAAAAATATTTCTTCACTGTCTCACATCAATAATTAATGTATTATTACTCACGATAACTGGTTATTTCTGACTTGTTTGTTATCCCCTGAAAAACATAGATTCAGGATTCTTCATGGGAAGTTGCAAAAGTCTTTCTGTCACAACAAACTAAAGTATACTGAACAGTTTCTAAGCCATACAATTAACATAACGGCACAAATTCATTTTGTTTGACAGTGGAGAAACGCTACAGAACTGTCAAAATAATATAGATCGTATATTGATAATCCCTGGTTACTTCAGATGTGATTTCATTCACACGCCTAGTGAATAAAAATTCTGTATTCACATACGGCAGTATGCACAGAGTATTCAGAAAGCACATTTCCGCATAGTGCTATGTAACGGGGCACTGACGCTAAGCTTATCAGAGTCAAATTATTATTTTTTGAAAAAACTTACACGAAGCGGATGCCAGAATCATCTGAAGAACAACACATAGTCGGCCAAACGAGAATATCAACCATTTATCTGAGATGAAGACAATAATGAGAGCTCCTAGTGGAATCGCAGTGACGTGACAAATAAAATTGCTCAAGGTTAGACGATAATGCACAGCATTGTTTTCCTTTGTCTAGTTCGATAGTATTGAAAAAAGAAAGAAATTGTTTTCATGAACTAAGCTAACACAATTTTTAAAAAATTAACTTTTTTCATATTTCAAAACTGAAATGCAGAGTAACCGTGAAGGCCACTCATGCAGTCTCTGAAATAACCAAATAATGAAATGTGATTAGTAGTTTAAACAGCGTAATGAGAAGATGAAGATCATATGAAACATTTGATGTATTGGCACTATGTATTTCGAACAAGCTGATTATGTATGAACTTGTTGAACCATTTGTGTGAAAATCAATGAAAAGGGTCAATTAAGGCCCTAGGAAACATAGAAATAGGAAGGGCGGATAAAAAACAAAATCACGTTACTAGTGGTATGAAAGCTGGAATGAATACTACCAAGGTAGGTTCAGCGTGAGTACAGATTGTTTTCGTATACAAACATGCGTACATAGACACACGTGTAAACTGATTAACACACTGTGATATGATTCAGTCGCTTAGATGCTGTTTTGGTTTGTGTTGTAACATGGACTTCATCTCTTCCATAATGATGACCCTCACCGCATAATATGGTTTACAGATGCCTGATCTAAGCTTTTCCTCACAATAAACCTGTCTGAATCACCTCCAAATTGTAGTAGTGAAATGTGCACACTTTCCTGATAAACGAAACACTGCACACTTCTCAATACTACATCACTTCTGCACCTTCTAGTCGAACCATCCTCCCATCGATTAACCACAGTGTCACAGAAGGATAGCTGATGTTTGTCTCTTGTTCACAGGTAATGTAAGTGTGATTTTACCAGTGTTACTGTTCTGTAGCAGGCAGATAGCATTGTTGGTCTTTTCATATATAATGACTATATCATCGATACATATCTCTTATAAAATGTAACCATTATGATGAGATAAACAACTATGTTGGTTATCTCAGCACTTGATAGTCTGGCCTTCAAAGTTATTCGTAACAATGATCTTCAATCTATTTATTTATTATAAATATATTTGTAATGAATATTTAAACACAATGATGCTTGTTATTTTGGTGATATATTGAGCAAAATTACTTGCGGTGATCACACCAGTGCTTGAAATTATTTCCCCACACATTTATGGAGAGATTCATACATGTATAATGTTTTCATTCTGCAGATCTGCCATTCTTTTCAATACTATGTTCCACGTTGTTGACAGTTGATCTGTGTCAGCTTTATTTTATGCAACAGGTGTGACTTGTATGAACAGGAGTTCAGTCATCAATCTTTCCTTTCATTTGCTCATGTCAAGCTTAAAGATGCCTCAATAGATATTACGTTCTGTGTGTACTGCTATCAATGAATTTGTTTCCAAATTTTGACATTTTTGTATCCCTGAGGTTTGACGCTTAGTTAATCGCCGAAGTTCATTCAGTCCTGGTTTCAGTGATGCCGACGTTTTACGCATATAATTAACGCTATTAGGCAGCACAAGATATTTTGTATTTGACATAGTTTTTGTCCAACTTTGTTACTGGAACTTTTAGTTGATTGGATTTATTTTTGATAAGCTTCATTGGCTAAAATTTGGCTGTTTCGAGATTTTGTTTCATTGACTCAGATGTACCTTTCTTACACGCAGTAGGATAGTTTCTTATACTCTGTTTTCTCATCTTTTTCGGTTTCTTCTCCGCGTCTCCTTCTCCTTGATCTTGTCTTTTATGAACTGGTTGGGATGATGATTCTTGAAAATAACATAAAATGCACAAAATGTTTATTTCTCTTCTTTCATTATTGGGGTATATTGTCGACCTACGCATTCTATTTGTTAGACTCTGTGGTAACGTTCTTTTTACACTGAGCGAATGTGTTGGGTGGCAATGCGGCAATCTTCCTGAATAGTTAGGTTTCGTGTAGGTCGAGGTCTTCAATCTTCTATCTAACATTCTTTGTGTTCTACAGGGTAACGTTCTCCCAAATCTTTCTCTATTCCCATTATGAATTTAGTTGAGTTTACACGACTGTTTGTATGCACACGAAAACCGTCAATACCTCCATTCCATTTTACGACCAGTTTGTTATCCCCACATCACTCACTTTTTATTGAAAACATGTATGATTTTTGGGCGTTTCCTTCATGAAAATCAAACCATTGGTGAGATGGATGACTGCATGGCTATTCCTCCACTTTGTTCGCATGACCTTCCTTCGAATGTGAGATACTTTGTTACTAAATAGTATTCTACTCCATTTACTATTTCTTATACAGATAACTGCGTTCTTTCTTTAATATCATCCTCCTGACAAAAACAGGAATCGATCATTGTGCGTAAATACTCATTACAAATATATTTACAATGCATTAGTCCTCCCCACAATGCACGAATTTTCCACGGTTATGATTCAATGTTGATATGAGTGTAAAACTGGTTCACTGTCGTAGAATGTTATTTCATTTTCATTGATTGATTAGATTTGTCACACAGTGTAACAGTAAGTATTGTTTACTGGATTACGTTTCAGACATCATTTATTGTTCGTAGTCATATCAAGATGACTACACAACTTGAGATATCCTTTATATGGTCCTAATTTCCTCGTCTCTTTGTGAGATGGCTAGTGAGATTTTCCATATATCCAGAACAGGAGCTGAGTCATTCCTGTTGCATGTGTTAGGTGTTGGTTCAATAAACAAAGATTCAGTTATCGATCTCTCTCTTCAACCTGTTATGTTAGTTTTAAGGATTTTTACCCTGTCCAATCCCACTGTGTGGTCGTGTGTAGTGGCATGCATAGCTATGGCTGGATGTTTTTCTACATTTCCTACCCTACTGGGATCTAGTGATTTTGACCAAGACAGGTTTTTGTGTTCGAATAGCCTAAGTGACCCTGGTCAACTACTTTGACCTATATATCTGACCTCGCACTCGTTGCAAGGGATTTGGTAAACTAAGTTATTCTGCCTAATTGGGTCAGTGGGATCTTTTAAGCTACAAGGCTTATTTCGAAGTGAGTTTGTAGGTTTAAATGCCACTGTGATCCCACCCAGCCTTATTGGGAATTCTATGTAGTGTTTCTGCAGTGTCTTCTTTGAATGGTAATAGAGTATAGCCGCTACTGTTACTAACATCATTACCAACACTATTGTTACTATTATTGTTGCTGTTATTGGCACGATTATTACTACTATTAAAAACTGTGTTACTGATATTTCTCTTACGATTCCTAAGGAGTTTATCAATTAATTTGGGAGGAAATCCAGTAAACAACACTGCTACACTGTGTGATAAATCTAATAAATCAATAAAAATGGAATTATGATTCAATATATTGTATGATCAAATATATTCGGCTTGATATTTTTAAAACTGCAACCAATTAGTATTTAATTTCAACACACGCACACACACACACACCAGTTCTGCTGTTACACAGCAAGTGCCTTTTCTATCTGCAAACGTATTCACGTTCCAATCTCTTATTTTTCCAATGTTAAAATAATTATGCATACTGATGTGAATACCTCCTGAGGTGACTTTGACTAAAAGCATATCGTTTGATTTGATAGGAAACGCAATTTCGGTTTATCAGGGTTCATAAGCCTTCAAATCTGCTTCATTCAGGTTTATGTGAGGAACAGTTTAAATCTCTGCAGTTACCTAAATTTATGAAAAACTGGTCGTAATGCATCATCATAGCAAATATATATTCTTTCAATGTGATTCTCATACATCACAGTTTCTTCAATATTAGACTGGACAACGCAAAACATCTGTTTAAATTTTCGGACCACCTCTCTGAAGTTGTATAGAAATGCTTCTACTGACTAGCTGTTGCAGGTGTATATGCGTTCCAATAGTACAGACATGTTCAAACTAGCCTTCTGTTGAGCATAATAATATATTAGGTGATTTTTGATCAAATTAGTTATACGTATTTAGCTTTTGAAGCTGTGTGATGCGTGATCAATGAGTACAGGCGTTATAACATACTTCGAATGAATTAGACTGAATTCTTTCAATACTGAAACAAATGTTGGTGCTTGAAACACAAGCGACATTGAGGCATTGCACAAGAGTCCATGTGTCAATAGACACTGATCAATTCGGTCTAATCAACGACGGGAGAGTTCAAACAACAACACTCAAACTGTTTCCATCACACACGAAGTGGATGTCGTGGCTCGGTGGTCTAGTAGATAACGCTGTGGCGTTTGAAGCCATCAGTTCCGAGTTTGAGTTCCTGTGGGAACAAGACTCACTTGGAGGCAGGTACTTCTAGCTGGTGAGTCCGTAATAGGATGAAACGTGCTCTTCGGATTCCACTGTTAGCTACTATTCATGATCAATATATAACTGACTACAATTTTCACGACAGATGTTTTCTCCACTGTTGCATAAAGATGTTATCATCAATTATAACCAAGCTTTTTCATGATCCTATTTATAATGAGGAAAACTAAGTGTGAATGAAGTTGTTGACATGACTGTCTGCAAGAAACTTGTACAAACTCTTGTCATGATCTCATATCATCTATTAAAATTGATTGTCAAACGAAAAGAAAATGCCTGATAATGAAAGTAGTGAAGGAGTATTGCTACGACAAAGTTACTATACATCAGCTGGAATGTACAATTTTGAGCTGTTATTTATCTTGTGTTAAATACTTTATGAGAATATAATGGCTACTTGGAATGTCTCTAGTTCCCAGATTCTTTCAGTGAATTACGAAAATTGTAGTTCTGCCTAAATACATTCTATTCTTTATATTTCTTATCGAACTTGCTTCCTCCTATCCATGCATAATAAAACTTTAGGTTGCATAATATGAAATGCGTTTGTAGATTGACTGGGTAGACGTCAACTAATTCAGTGGAAACTATCCTACAATCTAGTGATATCAACTGAATTTAATTTGAATGTGGTGGTAATGTAACGCCGTCTTTCTTCTAAAGAAATACCTAACAAATTAAGAGAAGCTGGAGACGATAGTATAAGAGAGAAATTGGACATACATTCATGGTTACTGTTAAAAAGTCATGGAAAGTGAAGTTGAAAACAGTTTCTAGATATAAACTTAGATCTGCTCCACAGTTATATCTACTGCTTAGCTGAGTATTTGGATCTAAAGAAAAACTTATTGATTATATACATGTTTAACGTTTCCTCTGAAAGTTAGATTTTGCACAGAAGTATGCAGTTGAGTTATGATACCGTATGTACATTTAGCCTATGGAAGCCTAAAAACACTTTTTCATTTCGAAATATCCTTGACAAATCTGTGAATATTTTTCCTGTAAAATGAGATAATGATTCTTCTAAAAGGGGAAAACTTTCAAGTAGGACATACAAAATTGAAATAGTTATTGGAACCGAAATATTGACATACATTAATAAAAGAAAGTCCAACTATGCAAACTCCATAAATAAGACACAAATTGTTAGCACCAAATGAGGAATTTTTGACTTCATTCTCTTTCTGACTTCGAAACCAGCCTTCCAAAACCAAATCCATTGACTAAATGTAGCTTCATTGAAGAAAAAGTAAAAATGAGATTAGAACTATGAAAGAATATTAGTCCGTTTCTTCGATAAATAGTAAAGATATCTGAGTCGAATATTTAGACAGTCTGATGGATTCAGTTCTAATATTTACCAAAAATTTGACTTCAAATCTGAGTACTTAGCTGAGCTCTCAAAAGTCTGACAATAAGTTGCCAAATTTTGTTTGAAACTCTAAAGGCTGAAGGCACTTTCATTAGAAAAATTACATTTTTATTCTCATATCAATATTATTTTGTCTATAATATTAAATTCACTTATTGAACACAAATGATATGGATACCTGTTATTGAGTTATGTTTATGAAAATTCATGAACCTTCAAGGCTTCACATTAACCCTTAAATCCTTCATACTTCAGTGAATTGTTTTCTGCATCAAATACATTTTTATTCAGTCAAGAGTACATAGAAATTCTTGGACTCAAAAACCACAGGAAGAAAACAGTCAAAGATCTACTAAACTAAAGTTACTCAAATTTCAATATGCTACAACAATAATGTTTTTCTACTACTTCCACAGATTATCACACCTATTACTGCCAAGCAGAATTGGTAGGAAAAATTTCTGAATAAATGAAAGCTGAAATCACGCTCTCATAACAGATATATATTCAATCTCTTCGTCTGTCATGACATGCTTTTCATCTGATAATCAGTTTCTGATATTGCAAACAGATTATAAACTCCTTGTTCGTCATTACTTTCCATCTTCCCACCAACTGAAAATTCCATTCACACAATATACGTCAATTTTATTATGATCACCGTATAATTTCCATTATTGCCACTATTACTTATCTCTTGCCTTTACACACATCTTATCCTGTCATGTTACCGGCTTCACATGACATTCACTCACTCAGTTAGAACCAATTCCTCCACAATTTTCATCTTTTCGTATTAAATACTATGAACGTAAACATTCATACAGATATATTTATAACTGTGCACATCGATTTTCGACCCTGTCACATTACATCACGACAGACTGTCTATTGTGTTTGTAGTTAGATCGTTGTCAATGGTAATTCGATAGTTGTTTCACCTACATTCAGTAGCACAGAATTACATCCATTGAATACATTTCTCAGTTCAACTATTATTTCCTTCACGTTTTATTCTTACTAGCTCTTCTTGCAATAATTTCTTGAAGGTATGATTGTGATGCCCTGCAAGAATTCGTCAGAATTCCTTCAAAATAATTATTGTTTTGAGTATCTGATGGGATACTTCAAATTATCTAACCCTTTTGTGACAAGTTTCACATCATAAGAAATATACGTGCTACTGAAGCTGTACTGGCAATGGTTTGTGAACCTAATAGGAAGCACCAAATCTTTAACGCCTTTCAGGAACACTATTGACAGAATCGGTCATTAGCCAGTCACTCTCACATTCAGTTTTCATGTCAAAAGAACTTAAATAAGAAGACAGAATTTCAATGGTTGTGGCTTTTTCCACTTCGTCTGATTATGACACTGTTTGTCAGATATTATTATCTATCAAATTGTCTTCGTGACACACAAAATAAAATATACTGACAACGTGGTTAACTTCGAAGTGGATTGAGCTTGGCAATACAGTTAATTCACAATTCATTACATGTCTATGAAGTTTGTCACAGCGTTAAATAAATTAGTTGTAGAATTTTCATGAGGAATAATCGTTGGATGAAAATGAACTCACCCATAACTCCATAAGTTGACATCAACCCCATGAACATATATTTCTCCGGTGGATATATACCAAGAGCACTAGAAAACAGTAAACATTCTCTTACTACTATAGTTGGCAGTTAGACGAATAATTTAATGCTTACAAAAAGGTGGTGAACACTAATAAATAATTTCTTCTAAAATGCAGAATACAAACCTGAATTATTATCTCAACATATACAATATCTTTGCACTAATGAGGCTGATAAAGCTCGCCTTCAGTGTCGCGAACAGGGTAAGGATGAGCAACTCATTTTCGGAGGACATGGTAACAATGACCAACACAGTCAGCGACATAACAGAATGGGAATTCGTAGATTCACATAAATGTCGACATAATTGGTGGCTTATTAGTTACACATTATCGAATCGAACGACGGATCGAGAACATTGAGCTCAGTCTGGCGAAATGAAAGGTAATATTGATTCACTTCGGCTGTCGTGTCCCCTTTCAATTACAAATTCATGATCACAACATTCTTAGGAATTGTAATGAGGGGAAGGATGATTTCCTCCTTTAGTTGTTATCAGCAAATCTTCTAAGGTATCCATTGTTCAACAGTATTATTCCAAGAATTTAAAATCAACACCAACCGTGTCTTCTGAACAGCCTACACAGATTCTAGAAGACAGTGAGTGAATGAGATTTCTCTCACATCTAACAGGTACCCAACTATTAAAGTTAGTGAACTGCCTGCCCAATCCAAGTTGGCTTGCAATAAACTGACTCTCAGATCGAGCCATCATCTCTTCCATTTAACATTATATCAAGAGGGTGAAACGCTTAATTCGACTCTTCGTTTGCAGTGAATTTATTCGACGGGTGATAAACATTGAATCATTTGAACAGCTCATTCACCGGACATGTTCTGTCACAAATGAGAATTTTATCATCAATATACTTTCTCAAAGAACCCCATTCCATTAACGTTGAACAGAACGACTACAATGCTAATTCAGTTTACTGTTTCATGTTGTCAATTACCGAAAATGTGGGTTTTAGAAAATCAATGTGTCTGACAACATCTTAACGATAACTTAACTTACACCAAGACACACACAGATATACAGACTGATTGGTTAACTAATCAATAAAGTAATGCAAAAGGAATCATCTGATTCACTCAACTTTCACACTTTTCATTTCAAGGCAAATACAATTTTGTTAGGGTAGTTAAGTCAATTATAAGATCTGCATAATTTTGTTGTATTTCACTTGTGAACATGGCTAACAGCAAAGCTGACACTTGAACATTTGAAAAACAAATAAAGTAGATAGGCAATTGCATATTTGCCGTTCAGATCTTTAGAAAAAGAATGTGCTTTTGTTATGTGTGTCATCTAGCAAACAACACTCTATATCACTAAGGTCTCAATGAAAATCGAATAACTAGGAGTAGGTAAGACTTAATATGTAATAGATAGATAGGAACAATTAAAGTTTCCTTAGTCATTTTAAATCAGATTGGCACAGTGAGAACTACTCCATTGACGTCATTAGGGTAAAGTTTGAAAAATTGACCAAGATTATTTTAGTAATAACTCATTTTCATGAAGTAAGTATTGTTATTTCCATATTGTCTGTCCCCTGGGTTCCTAGTGGAATATAAGGCTGCACTAGTACGTCATCATTGCACTCTGTTCTCTTCAGTCTTCCCAACATGGTCTCACAACTACCCATCAGCTCCCAATTCCTCCTCACACAATCTCCTCCATGACAGCATCGAACACCCAATTCGTCTTTTCCCATTTAGGGTGCACTCGAGGGTCTGACCAGGCGCGTGATACCATCGAACGGTCTTCTCAGTATATGCGTGATCCATCTCCACTTTCTTCTACACACTTGTTGTGTGAGAGGTTCTTGCCTTGTCGGTTGGTTGCCAGCCAACTAAGGTTGATTTATTGTTGCTTATTCTTATCATTCCGACCATCCATCTGATCTCCATTTCCAGTGTCAGTATCGAGTGAGCGTAGGCGGCAACTGTTGATCACATGTATGTCTTTAATCTGAAGGAAGTCCTCTCTTCCTTGTCTGCTGATGAATGAGTTTGGTACAGGTTTGTGGCATTAAAACCGTAGTGTTGAAGTGGCTACCAAACTACTTCTCAGTCAACGCTGTCACCAGCCTTTTCAAAGTCGATGAAGTTGAGGTTAGGTAGAGAAGTGACTGTCATTCTATGCTGTGTTGTATGATGATACGTAGAGTAGCGTTCAATTTGATGCTCAAATGATTTCTTCTTCCTGAGACCAGTCAGCCAGCCAGCCTTTTTTGGTTGTAATTTTGAATCCAGCACAGTCTACCAGTCTCCCCAGGATGATGCGACTCAATATTATGTCTGATTATGGAGTACACAAGCATGGTTCAGTGCCAGTTCTTGTTCTTCCACAGACTTGTGTCACCCTCCTTTGAGAGTTTAACAGGATAGACTTTCTTCGAACCAGCTGGTAGGAATCATGACTTTGACCTGGTTATTTATAACCAGCTTATTTGTAAACCATCACTATTTTCTAATATTAACCTCAACTGATTAACTGGTTCACTAGTTACTAGTCCGTCCTCAATCCGCAAAATAGGGAGGTTTGCGAATAGGGCTAACAACTCCACACAGGAAAACCAATCCAATCCCCAAAGAAACTTCAAAACACAAAGAAATCACTTAAAATGAAAACAAATTTATTACTCGCCGGAACTGGAGAGACGAAATGATGCCATTTGGAGAAAGCCTTCGTGAAGCCGATCAGCCGATATGTCTTCTCTTTTCTCGATGAAAGTGAAAGTGAGAATGTGGACATGGAATGTCCACACCATGTATGAACGTGGAACGGCTGTCCAGAGTGCCAAAGAGATGAGAAGGAAGAGCAAAGAATTGCTAGGCTGGTTATCTGCGATAAATCTGCAGATGGAATGGAAGTGGACTCTCCAAACTGTCAAGTGGAGAGGAGTCAATAATCTACTGCGATATTATCACCAGACGACAACCATGAGCACATTGAGTTGTTGAGTGGCTATCATGATGTCCCATTGAAGAGTAGTGGAGGCTCATTCTGGTGCAGTGGGAAGCGATCTCCTACTGCAGGATCAGGATCAGGATCATGATAGCACAGTTCAACTCGAAAAGAAGGAAAGTCACAATTACACAATTCTATGCTACGCCAAGCATCTACAAATAATGCGGATGAAGGGAAGAAGAAGGAATTCTACAGACAACTTCAATCAGTACTGGACAAGACTCCATCCTAGATGCGACATCGAAATTGTGATGGGTGTGGTGACATGAATGCCAACCTCGGAGCGAATAACACAGGAAGAGAACTGATCATCGGTTGAGAGGCACTCAGTGAAATGATGAACGAGAATGGAGAGCTGTTTGCAGACTTCTTCGCATTCAACGATTTGGTGATTGGAGTCAGTGTGTGCAAACACGAGGATATTGACAAAGTGAGTGACATGGATTTGATATCACCAGACACACCAGGACACACTAGACTGGAGATCAGATCGACTTCATCTCAATGTGAAGAGAGTGGAGACGCAGTCTAGTGGACACTAGATGGAGAAGGGGAGGAGATGTAGATGGTTCACACCACTCACGATCTAGTGCAATTAATTTTGCGAATCAAGCTGAAAGGCTTCACAGAAATTGGTGATAGTCCACAGTTCAAGTTGAACAACCAGAATTGAAGGTGAAGGTTGAAACTAGAAAGGGAATCTCCACATCAGTCAGTCAGCCAGTCAGTCAGTCAGTCAGATATCAGGAAAAAATGGGAGATGTTGATGGAACCTCGATGGAACAACACTGGAACTCTTTGAAATGGTTGTGGAAGGAACCCTGCATAACTGTGTTGAAAAGGAGGATACATGGAAGCTGATAGTGGAGAGAGAGGAAGATGGTGAAGCAGAAGATGAACCAGTCTGTAGTGTAGTGTAGTGTAGTGTAGTGTAGTGTAATGTAGTGTAGTGTAGTGTAGTGTAGTGTAGTGTAGTGGAGTGGAGTAGAGTGGAGTGGAATGCATGTATGAAGAAGGTAAAGAGGAACTGACAATAACCTATAGGACACTACACTGGACAACGAAGTGAAGAAGGGTGAGCACAGGGATGAAAGACACTTCTACGGCATATTGGTAAGTGAAAGATAACAGGCTGCAGGTAGGAGAGACAGAGACGCTACTCTACGTATCATCATACAACACAGCATAGAATGACAGTCACTTCTCTACCTAACCTCAACTTCATCGACTTTGAAAAGGCTGGTGACAGCGTTGACTGAGAAGTAGTTTGGTAGCCACTTCAACACTACGGTTTTAATGCCACAAACCTGTACCAAACTCATTCATCAGCAGACAAGGAAGAGAGGACTTCCTTCAGATTAAAGTAGTGAAGACAGAGGTGATGAAGGTACTCAAACACCACCACCACCACCACCACCACCACCACCATCGCCACCGCCATCGCCACTACCACCACTAACAACAACATCACCAAGAAACTTTAATCACCAGGAACGGAGAAATGTGAATGAAGTTGTCTCTTCCACCTACCTGTCATAAAAGGCAGCATCGTTTCAACTACAGGCGGTGGCACAGGCGCAGATGAGGATGTCATAGCCAGGATTTGAAAGATAGCGAGAAACGCCTTCCTTCATTAATCAGTGGAGATCAGTGTGGAGATCCACTGCACTCCACTGCACCACATGGCATTGCACTCAGCATAAATCCTGGACAATATCCTGATTCTCAACACTAATGTCAGTCAAGTCAGTGCTTCTATGTGAAGGTTGAGGGATTTAACGCGTCACCGAAAGCCTTCCCAACAAAATGCAGACATACATGTGATCAACAGTTGCCGCCTACGCTCACTCGATACTGACACTGGAAATGGAGATCAGATGGATGGTCGGAATGATAAGAATAAGCAACAATAAATCAACCTTAGTTGGCTGGCAACCAACCGACAAGGCAAGAACCTCTCACACAACAAGTGTGTAGAAGAAAGTGGAGATGGATCACGCATATACTGAGAAGACCGTTCGATGGTATCACGCGCCTGGTCAGACCCTCGAGTGCACCCTAAATGGGAAAAGACGAATTGGGTGTTCGATGCTGTCATGGAGGAGATTGTGTGAGGAGGAATTGGGAGCTGATGGGTAGTTGTGAGACCATGTTGGGAAGACTGAAGAGAACAGAGTGCAATGATGACGTACTAGTGCAGCCTTATATTCCACTAGGAACCCAGGGGACAGACAATATGGAAATAACAATACTTACTTCATGAAAATGAGTTATTACTAAAATAATCTTGGTCAATTTTTCAAACTTTACCCTAATGACGTCAATGGAGTAGTTCTCACTGTGCCAATCTGATTTAAAATGACTAAGGAAACTTTAATTGTTCCTATCTATCTATTACATATTAAGTCTTACCTACTCCTAGTTATTCGATTTTCATTGAGACCTTAGTGATATAGAGTGTTGTTTGCTAGATGACACACATAACAAAAGCACATTCTTTTTCTAAAGATCTGAACGGCAAATATGCAATTGCCTATCTACTTTATTTGTTTTTCAAATGTTCAAGTGTCAGCTTTGCTGTTAGCCATGTTCACAAGTGAAATACAACAAAATTATGCAGATCTTATAATTGACTTAACTACCCTAACAAAATTGTATTTGCCTTGAAATGAAAAGTGTGAAAGTTGAGTGAATCAGATGATTCCTTTTGCATTACTTTATTGATTAGTTAACCAATCAGTCTGTATATCTGTGTGTGTCTTGGTGTAAGTTAAGTTATCGTTAAGATGTTGTCAGACACATTGATTTTCTAAAACCCACATTTTCGGTAATTGACAACATGAAACAGTAAACTGAATTAGCATTGTAGTCGTTCTGTTCAACGTTAATGGAATGGGGTTCTTTGAGAAAGTATATTGATGATAAAATTCTCATTTGTGACAGAACATGTCCGGTGAATGAGCTGTTCAAATGATTCAATGTTTATCACCCGTCGAATAAATTCACTGCAAACGAAGAGTCGAATTAAGCGTTTCACCCTCTTGATATAATGTTAAATGGAAGAGATGATGGCTCGATCTGAGAGTCAGTTTATTGCAAGCCAACTTGGATTGGGCAGGCAGTTCACTAACTTTAATAGTTGGGTACCTGTTAGATGTGAGAGAAATCTCATTCACTCACTGTCTTCTAGAATCTGTGTAGGCTGTTCAGAAGACACGGTTGGTGTTGATTTTAAATTCTTGGAATAATACTGTTGAACAATGGATACCTTAGAAGATTTGCTGATAACAACTAAAGGAGGAAATCATCCTTCCCCTCATTACAATTCCTAAGAATGTTGTGATCATGAATTTGTAATTGAGAGGGGACACGACAGCCGAATTGAATCAATATTACCTTTCATTTCGCCAGACTGAGCTCAATGTTCTCGATCCGTCGTTCGATTCGATAATGTGTAACTAATAAGCCACCAATTATGTCGACATTTATGTGAATCCACGAATTCCCATTCTGCTATGTCGCGGAATATGTTGATGACTTTGTGTGATTCTTTTGAAATTGAAGGGAAATTTTATGTTAATTTTTGGTTTTCTATATTGTTCGAATATTTACTTTTTTGGAAGCCACGCCTAATGTCATACTATTTTCAGGGGATTCATGAGCAGTTTGACTGATAATATTCTCTTTGAAAGGCAAGGGAAGCAAAAGAGTTTTAAACGTACAATAAGAAGGTATTCATGATTTTATTTGTCAACTTATGAAATATTTTATTATCCTGATTTTTTAGATGTATGTTTCAGTCTGAATTTCAAAGTCATTTTTCTTCTAACCATTGCATACATATTTATTGAAATATATGAAATAAATTTTGTGAATTTTTATGCTTGAAATCTTTGAATAACTAACTACGGTCATCGTTATTTATTATATTCTGCGGAAACGTATTGTATAAATTCAACTATTTAAGTATATTTTTTTATCATGGATCATAGTTGTAATAAAGTTTTAGCGTTAACTTCAGTTTTTAAGTGCAGCTTTATAATAAACCGATTCATTCTGCATCACATAGCCATTCTTTTAAAAAAACTATCAGTTGTTTTTGACCTAATATTAGAAATTCATCATTAATATCAATTATCGTTTGGGTTCCTAGTGCAACATAAGCCTGCACTAGCGCGTCGTCATTGCAATCTGTTCTCTGCAGTCTTCTCAACCTGGCTTCACAACTATTCATCAACCCTCATTTCTCCCTCACACAATCTCCTCTATGTCATCATCGAACGCCCAACTCGTCGTTTCCCATTTGGCTTCCACTCGAGGGTCTGCCCACGCGTATGACGCCCCCGAATAATCTTCTAAGTGTATGCGTGATCCATCTCCACTTTCTTCTGCACACTTGTTGGGAGATACGTCTTTGCCTCGTTGTTTCGTTACCAGACAGGAAGCCAGAGATTCTCCTTGCAGTCTGTTGGGAAGGTTTTCGGTGACGTGCCAAGTCTCTCAACCACTACATAGAGGCACTGACTTGACTGACATTAGTGTTGGGAATCCGGATATTGTCAAAATTTTATACTGATAGCAGTGCCGGGCAGTAGACCTCCACACAGATTTCCACGTGCAGTCGGTCCCAAAACACCAATTTCACTCGCCCCTACCTCCCCAACTGCAAGGTCGACACTTACACACAATGCTAACACCAACAGTCACACACTATATAGTGTCATGTCTTGCTTTAGATTGGCCACCTCTAAGCTTTCTACAACCTGAAACTTCTTCCCATAACATTATGCTACATAATACAAACGAGGTGTCTACGCATGTCTAACAAATGTCACAGACATCTCACTCGATCAAGCTAGCTTCACAACTTCACCAACTGACACACTTCCCCCACTAAAACTCGTCACATCACTTCTACACTACCCACTTCCTCACTCCATGACAAACGATCTATGCGACGGATGTATATAATTCTTTGTTTAGCATTTGTGCATTATTAGGGAGTTCATTATTCCCAAGACTGTGTTTTTAGGAATGTGTTCAGTTTCAGTGTGAACGAGGATGGTATTTTAAACCATCCTCTCCCCGGATGAATTTAGACAGAACTAGGGCGACGGTTGTTCCCTTTTATTTGTAGTGGTTGATAAGTGGCTGTACAAAAGCACTGTTCGATGCAAGCAGCTGATGCTTAAGAAACAATCAAATGAGTAATCCCAAAGTAAATAAATATTCTTGTAGACTTTCTGTCTTTGTAGAACTTGCCGGTTTCACGGACTACCATGAAAACCACCGTGATGAATACTAATTCATTATGGACTGACATGAATTGGACAACCATTGAAAACCTCGTAGCATCAGATAGGTATTTCATGCTGGCATGAGACTCCATCGCAGTGCGTACCCACAATGCCTACAAGGTTTGAGCCAGCCGATGCAGTGACTTCACAATGATTCATTCGACACGATACTCGAACGTCCTGAGTTTGATTCTTGGTGAGTTAGTGACTGCGCACTACTGAGGTGCTCTATACTGAGGTGAAAAAGCCGTTCAGTGCTACCAAGTGTTTTTTCATGCTACCCCAACTGATTTCATATCATGATGAATATCAGTGGAGTGGTCATATTCTGGGAGGATCTATTACCATGGCATGCAATAAGTAATAATTGCCCTGTAAATTCATATGATTATGAGACAGGTTTACCATGATGAATGAGAGAAAAGATTTGATTGAAATCACTTCTCAGAGATAAACTCTTCACTTTCCACTCGATCGTTTTAATTCCATCATTCACTAATGGTAAACACTGGTGAAGTTCTTCACTCCTAATATCTATCAGTTTTCATCATGTATAGATGAAATCAAAGAAACAAAATTGTCATAAAAAAATTGACAGGACTACATAGTTAATTGTAGCAAAGTCTTGTCCGATTGAGAATGCAACATGCTGAAAAACAAATTGAATTATCAACAGAAATCCAGTGAATAGCATTGAGTGTTACTCAAGGTAACCAAATTCCAAACATTCAATGAGTGTATTTCACACTTCCACTTGTACATCTTGTTTAAATTTATGTGATGAGAGATGATCGAACTTTTCAGCTTCTTTAATTTCCAGTCCCATGATAAGCGTGAATTCAGCACAACCAAGAACGATAAACCATTCGCTAATCGCACTCCATTTAAACTCCTCATAACCCTAGTAGGAAACAAAATGAGAGGAAACTCTTAAAAATTATGAGGTTATTGATCATGTCGCTGAATAACGCTCATCAACCAGATTCAAATAGCTTCTTACTCATTCAGTTGACACACAACTGGACTATTCAAAGTCGGTTGCTTTCCTTGATCTGTTGATTCCTTGTTTAAGAGATCACTGTTTTGATATTCATCACAAAATGATTTGTAGAGTGAAAGTGAGTGAAATGTTTATCCAAATATGACCAACAGAAGCTGACGATATGCTTTCATTTAAAGTGAACTCACAGTACAGACTGAGTGAATCTGTTTTGTATTTCAGTGTCGTTATTACGCCGTCTGGGTAAATGCAGAGGATTCTGATTGATATTTTCAAGCAGTTGGTTGGTGTATGCTCAAGTGTAAATCTATGTAGTATGCAGAAGAACTGTACAGATATTCCATCTCTTGTTTGGAGTTCAAGATTATTATTTGAGGGAAATGAAAGTGAATTCATCTGGGTGTTTTGTGGGAATGATAAATCTGAAAATAGTTTTCGACAAGTATTGACGTCATTTGGCGAAGCTTGTAAAACTGAGTGGCACTCGCTAGCTGTTTTGCCCTAGTTTATGAGTTGTCACCAATAGACACACAGAATCTTGTGATATATTGATAAGTGTCATATTGATGGGTTGTCAATAAGAACAGCACCATTTGGAATGGGTCTTCTTCAGAGAATATGATTATTTTGTTGTTGACGACTTACATGCAGTTGCGGGTAAACTAACATGTATGTGGAGGACTAAACACCTGAAGACAGTTTTGCATTGATATGATTGATTATGAGCAATAATTTATGCTCGAAACATCATCAAGTAAATAATACTATATCAATATGGGTTGTAAACCAAACAAACAAATGTAATATGGAATTCTATTCTATTGCACTGCCCATATTTTACACCTATATGAAGGGTCTATTTTATTTATCTTAAATCCACTTGGTTCATATACCATACACCTGTTACATCTCGTGGTGTTCACTCTTCCTGTGAATTCTTGAATTTATCTGTACTTCTGAATGAATAAGTGGCAAAGAATGCCAACTGATTGAAGAAAGCTGGTAGACCACATATGATTACCGAATGACTTTCTTTCTCTCAACGTTCAGTTAACAACTCACCAGCTACACAATCTGTCAAAATATTTTAATAAATATGATTATGTGCTTACTACAAAATATTTATTTTCCATTGAAATGCTTCACTTACGGGCTCATAACTTTTAATATAATAGAAATCCTTCGCTTGGAGAACGTCAAGTCCAATCCGGTTGTAATATGTGACTGAAAAATATCACGAAAAACGTAAAAGTTAAACAGAATCTTGTTTACCACACAAATCAACACTTCATTTACATCATCAAATAAGTGAAGACGCCTTCACTTTTCTATGACTGATAATATGAGTGGAGTAGAAAATGGGAAACGCTATACGAAACGACTGTCATGGATATTCTAAAGTATATTAAGGCTTATTACCACGTGAAATAGTCACTTTCACTTTGACCAGATATTTCGTGTTTATACTCTTACATCTCCGTTCTCTTGATAACTACACAGGATTAACTGTCAGCATTTTATTTCGATGCAGCAGATTATGCAAGGAAGACTAAACATGTTGGAAGATAAATGGAGAAACTGGTCTGTGCAATTCGGAAAAACGTAGTGTCAGAATATAAGGTAACTTAGAGGTTAAATTAATCGTGTTTGTCGGTTTAGATTATTTGTTCAGTGCACCAGATGTTTCCTTCTGCAAAATGAATGGTATATGACATCAGAGGAGGAAGTTAGTTGACGTATAAGGTGTAAGTGAAATAACTTGCAGTAAGGATGATGAATGATGAATTCCAGATGACTCATATTTAACTCCATCTCTCATTCAATCAGCACTTCGTTTACCTAGTGAGCGAGTCAAAAGTGGTTCCTCTGATGGAAACTGACTTCGCTGAGTACTACTGCTTCACAATAACATTTTATCACGAAATAAAGAGCAAGACTGATGTGTGAGAAGATACTTTTCGTGATCAACCTGTTTGCACAGCATTTCTGGCAGACACCTGGTCAACGAAAGCTTCTCAAGGCTAATAACTGACAAAATATTGAAAATTAGGCTTCTGCAATGTTGAAAGTTGAGGCTACTCTGAACAGAAATGTGCACGACTGATTACACCCGAGCACTGTGTTTAAGGACGATGGACAAATTCACGGCAGATTTATATTCCGCGTTACTAGTTTCCACATTCTTGTACGATTGACATGCTTTCTGAGTGGAGTAAGGTTTGACTTTCATTGATCTGCATTTAGATCGAATTCGATGCGCATTTTTCTTCAATAGTGAATTGTCAAGCTAATGAGATTGAGTAACGGTCTGGAACGCACTGTGTTTCCCTTAAAAGGATGTGTGAAATATGAAGTGGATACACACAGACCTACATAGACTGATAGAATTGTCGACTGCAAATGATTGCAGAAAGCAGTGGAAAAATCTCTTAGATCTGAGTTTCTAGGAAATCAGAAATTTTCTGTACAACAAACAGTCTCTTTGATGAATGTGGACAGTGTAGTGAGAAGACGAATATTATCTGAAACATGTGATGTATGTATATGCACTATGCATTACGAGCAACTCGATCAAACATGCACTTGTCGAACTACTTATGTAAGCATTCTCAGAATGCATTTACTCAATGAAGAGGGATTGAATTGTATAAAATCTATGCGGTCTGAACACCTACGTCCATTTGGGTTACCTGAAACACACATAAGCCTGATAATCACTTACGTCCAGTATTGTCTGTATGTCGATGATCCAGGCATAATCTGTCTAAATGGTTGGCAAAACTCTCGAGTGTTGTCACAAGCCATTTCTGTCAGTACTCGTTGAAACATAAATTTGGTCGTAGTGACTGACTGTTTATACGATATTAATATCAAGGATAAGACTGTACACTGCTTCGATATAAATTCCTTATTTACTGATGTCCAGCTGGTACAGATGATTGATATTTTATGTGAGTATATTACTTCAAACAGTCTCATATATTGAAGACATGGTTGACGATCTCAGGTGAGGAGATATGTCGATGATGTAGTTATTAGATATGCGAAGCCTGATGATGTGATTTGGTTGGGGGTGAATATGAATGAACACGCATCAAAATCTCATTGGCCCTACCGGTGAGCAAGATATGAACATCATCTACCACACTTTGATATAGTGTATAACTGATGGGAGGATGCCTCAATCAGAAGGTTGATCTAGAAGGAGCTTACCTAAACAGGGAATATCCTAGTTTTCACAGCCTTTGCATTGCACATTATAAACGTGGTTTAGTCAGTTGCTCACTCATCAAGATAAGCTGCATGTGTACGCATGACACGAATTAGGAAGGAACCAATTTACTGACCACGACACTAACACAGAATGTTTACTCACTTGAAATTTGTCAACAGGTGCAACCGTAATTTATCATGAAAATGTGTGTAGTGTTCCGTGCATATATAGAAGTGGTTTGGGTCGAGTGATTTAATTTATCGAAGTTCTTGACATCTGTGAATTCAAACCTCCCCAATGTATGCGGAATTAATCTGTACTCACGTTGAACCTACCTTGCGAGTATTGATTCCAATTTCCATACCACGAGTTATGTGATTAAGAATTTTTTTGTTTTTTCTCAGCCCTTCCTATTCTCATGTTTCCTGTTGACTTAACTGACCCTCTTCGTAAATATTCGTGAGAATAGTTCGACCAGTTCATGTGTGATCAGATTATTCGAAATGCATAGCGCTAATACATCAGATGTTTCAGATAAATATGTGTAATTTGAAACAATTGGTCCCTTTAATAAATTTTGATAACGCTATTAGAAGACGAAGATTATCTGAAAAATGTGATGTATTTGCGCAATACATTTCGAACAATCTGATCACACATTTACTTGTCAAGTCAATTTATATATGAAAATTAAAGGTCAAATATAAGGATTATGAAAAGGTTGTGACACTAGTCTTGATAACATAATCAGATAAGGGTTACCAAGGTAAATTAAGTGTGTAAGTTATTGATGAGGAAAGAGTTTTCCTCCAATCAATTTGTGTATGGCTGAATTTTTCTTGAACAGTAGATGTGTGAAGATGCTCTCGTTTATGTCAGGTGTTCTACAATAACTAGTGCACATCTGTCAATCAATTACTTAAGTCATCTGAGTTAGTTGTCACTGCAAAATGTTGAGTTGTAATGATATTCACACTGAGTTAACACTTACAACCGATAGCAGCAAACATCATTTGAATGAGAAGAAGCAGTCGGATGGTAGAGAAGAACAGCCATCTGTCAAAGGTGACAATAATTACTGGGACACTGATTGTCATGGCTAAAATGTGACATGTGAAATTGAGCAAAGTCAGGTGATAGTGTGATCGATTATCCTCCTTCGTCTGCAAGTAAGATTTGGAGGAATGTTCAAAAATGTTAGTATTTATTATGATTGTTATTATTAGTAAGGCTACAATAATTTCATATAAGTAAATATGGATTCTCTTTTCCAAAACCAGAGTTACTTAACATGTGTCTAGTATAAGGCCGTCATGTAGTCAATTTCGTAGAATACTGGATGCAAATAGACACATTAGCCAACCGTATCAGTTTCCATAGAGATACACATTGCCTTACTGAAAGCAAAGCATGTTGACGCCCTTCCATCCACTGTTGACTGAACGCATTTGAATGAAAGAGTTTCACCTTCCAGCATTTCAAAGTGCAGTATTTCATAACTACTCACTATGAGTTTGTTATTAATACGTGATCTTATGCTCTGTGCAGTTCAACTTTCGTCCACGTATCATTTCATGGAGGTGGTTTATAACTTGAATTTACTAATATCACCAACATTCGGTTTAGTATGATAGAAAATCGGCGATTCATGAAGTTGTTTGCAGATGCGAAAAAGAAGACTATTTCCTGATGAACGTGAAGTCGAATGTACCATTGAAGAATTTGGTCGTAAGCATTGTTGGAAAATACTTGACCAGGGTTAGATAACTAATGTTGGTGCTATGCCAAACATTTGTTGTCGTAGCTAATTTTGACGATGGAAGGTTTGCTCTTTCTCACTCTCTTATCACTTATCTTATCATTACTCGATGAAAGAAAATGTAGGCTACTTCTCCACAGCAATCACACGATAGTAAAAAGGAATATATATGAAAGTCAAAACACGTGTGAATATCAAGCATCAACAGATGCCAAACAAACAAACACTAATAATTTTCTGAAGAGTAAAATTTTGTCTGAGATGGCCATGTGAAGATCTTTGATGTCTTAGACGGAATGCATAATGCTCGAGCATGCCAAAGGGGCTCAACAGGCTTCATTGCATATGGAGAGACGAAAGGAGTGAAGAACCTCACACATGAATGCACTGGCTCAAATTGCCACAATTCACAGTAGCATATAAGGAGAAAATGGATAGAAAAAAAATTGGAACAAACTAGAGAAAGGTGTGTGAGATGAGAGAGGATCTAAAATCAGGGTCAGGGAAAACATTTGAACCTCAGAAGACTTCTGTGAGTGAATACGTATGCTCCAGACACACCAATTTTTCAGTCATGTCACCAACAGTCCTCAAACATTGATTGCTGCCATCTCAGGGACTGAATGCAGGCAGCTTACATCTCCCAGACAACTCACAGCAATAGTCAGGAACTTCATCCACTAGTGTCATGTCTTGGTCTGGCCACCTTGAACACTATTGTAACCAAATCCAACTTCCTCTAGCATGACACAACTCTGCTGGTGGTGCCTCGGCATGCACAACACATGTCCAAGCCATCTCAGTCAGTGGAGATTCACAACCTCTTTAACATGCATATTTTGACCTGTTATCTTCCTCCGACCTCAACACTGCTCACAAAGTAATTTCGTCAAATCTGAGCAGTCTTAAGAAAGTACATGTGTTCGAATCTCTTTGACATCTTCATGACGTCTGCTTCTCCGTTGGTAGATAGTCTGACATCTATCCAAACCCTCAGGTTGGGAGGTGAATTCGCTGCTGTCAAGTGACACGACTTGAAAACTTGAAGATTTCAACGAAACCTTAGTGTCTTTTGTCTGGAAAATATATTGAATACCTAACACTGAGACCAACTATAGAATGGAGATAAAGTGAAAATTTGAGAAAAACTCTGACACTATGATCTCTCGGTTTAGATATCAGAACTCTAGATTGATGCCTACTACAGCTACTCGCCTATTCTTTTCCTGAACAAATCACACCAAAACAATTAAACTGCTTCAATGAATGTAATGACCAACTGAGAATTAAGGAATCCTACCTCTTGTGTTATTGGCACACAAAGTCACACAATACTCTTTCACTTGGCTAGATACTCCAGTCAACATATCTTTGATTGTATTGGGCTGAATGGTGAGCATCATCTTTCCAACGATACTCAGTGGAAAATTATGTCCTGTCATACAACATAAAATTCAAAGCGATTCATTAGCACATACACTTTCGTGAGTGAGTATGAGAATAATAAAGACTTACATCAATATAAGTGAGTCCCAGTATGCACATCCCTGATACTATCATGATTAGACCAACGAGAAGAGTCAGAAGAATTGGAACTTTCGATTTGTACCGTTTTGTTAATGTCTGCATTAGCTTTGAGCACCATAGGCATTGACTGAAAGTAGCTGAAGTTGAATAATATTGTAATGACGTTGGACGAACATATTGTAAGTAGGCCGTATAAAGGTTATGTATGCTATCACTAACTAATTATCAGATAATAAATTTTAGAAAATAATAATAATAATAATACACAAACGTGCTACGTTCCATTTGAGTTTGGAAGCAACTGTCGCTTTTCTTCTAGTGTCACTCGTTGGATCAATGACAAAACTAATAAGCTCTCTCTAACTGTTGGTGGCTTTGTCGTAGTACTTAAAACATTAGGAAGAATGCTCCATGAAAAGATATTCTTAGACAATATATTCTCAGAAAAGTGTCTTACTACGTACGAAATGATGACCAAACATTCGATTTACCTTACAAAAATGTACATCGTCAACATTTATCAGTCAGGTAGAGGCATGAAGTCTTGTAACAAGGAATGTCAGTAAATTACATCTAACAATGAATGATATCACGTTGAATTCGGTAATTTACACAGACTGTGATTTTCGTGCCTCCTGAATTTCATTGTCAGAATTCGTGAATCGATACCTTCTCCCTGCTTACAGTTGAGTCACACAAGATATGTACAGGATTTAAGCGTATCACAAGGTGGCCATTTGGTGTGCACTGTGCATGCATGATAATTTAGATATCAGTTTGATTATCTGAGATAATCAGGGTTCGCCAGACTCGTATTAATAATTGTTGGTGGTGTTGTTGAGAGTGAAAGGAAAGATTGGTCTTCATACACTAACTAACTTTGAATTCCACTTCATCCCAAATGTTTAATTCAACTTCAGTCATCACCAAGTATCAGACAAGTCTTCTCATCCATGACCATCTCAAGAAGTCTAACTTATTCATCCGTATGATGCTCATCGTCTCCATTTTAAATGAATGTGGATTCGGATGTGAAGTCATGAGTACACATCAAGTGTGAGTGTCATTATGGGATAGTAATCCGTCACCAATTGACATGGCAGTCGGACAAAAGCTATGGACATTGAGGTGAAATAAAAATCTGGTCTCCAATCAAATCTTGTAGCATAGTTGATGGATAGGGCATCGAGACATGAACATGGTGATCGCTGTTTCGAAATCTGCCACTGTCACGATTTTCATTCCACCTCCTACCATCAACCAGTGATAATTTATTGTCGAAGTATAACTCCAACATTTTAAGTCTCCATACAACGCCAGAATGTTTAATGCTTGAAAGAGTATTATATGCATTCTGTTTCAATCAAGATACTTCCGTTGTCATCACAGGTCGTTGAAATTGAAGTAGTAATTGACGAAGTAGAATAGAATGTTAGCATATGGAAAGGAGACCTCTGAAAGCTTGACTCTTGTTGGATTCAGTCATTTTTGAAAAGCCTTAACAGTGGTTTGAGTTATCAACAATTGAAATCATTGTGACTTAGGTTCTTTTAGAAGCGAAGGGTTCAGTGGAAAGATTTGTTTTCTCCTGTTGTCTAATGTGACAGCTAATGTCAAGTCATGTGAATCGGTCTGGAAGTTACAACATGTCAGAATGATGTATGTACTTGTATCAGTTAATCCGTAGTTTGTTGTAGTCTGAAGCACTAGGCTTCAGTTTCTGAACAGTTATGTTCTATTGCTAGTGAAGAAGGCTCACCCCGTCTGAACACTCATCACAATGCAAAATTCACTGAACTGACACTTGGCAGAATAATAGATGAGGATAATCTTTGGTGGTTAGAAATGCAGCAAATAATTCAATTCATTATTCCTTCATGAATATTTAGCATACGATAATTAGGAGATTTTAAAGATAAAATCGTTCGACGTTTTCCACTTAAAACAATGTGGTATCGATAGCAGATGTATGATACAATTGTCACACGATTAGTTTTATCGTTTACATAAATTCATTATTCGGCACTGATATAACTAACGCATTAGAGGAATATTCTTCACATGACAGAGAGATATTTCTGAGGAAGGATTACATTCTGAAACATTGAAACATATTCAATTCAACTAATCGCTTTAAAGATAGAGAGAAACTTACCCAATATGAGATATATTGTAAACAACCATTGGAACATGTATTTTTCCGGTGGGTAAATCCCGAGTGTGCTATGTATGAAGTGAAGAAAGAGTAAATGTTGAGCATAACTGACTGTCAAAGCTCGCTGAAATCACATCAAAATAAAGCTTCAGATTTTTACTAGGTACTGTTATAACCAGGATATCAATTGATAATCTGCTGCAAGATAAGACACCCAAAATCTCAATTTCTTCTAACCGGTCTTCATTCATTGAAGAAATAAAGTGATGATTCCAATATTCATGGCAACTTTATTTCGAAAGCATGCTATCAATTATACCCACTGTTGTTGAAACAGTAAAAGCTGTCTGCAGACTGTCCGTCTTCTCTCCTTGTTTTCTCTTGACGGTTGTATTGTCATTGTGGTGATTGCCCTTCCGATTGATGATTAGATTAGATTAGATTGCTTGCGTGTCAGGCTTGCATCGCTCGTACATTGATAACTTGCACTACCGGTCATAGCAAAGTGAACTGATTTGCTTTCAAAAAGTGACAGTGTCTTGTTTATTTAGCAATATACTTTCTATGACGAGAACTCCATACTTCAGTCTTCACTTCATCCAACAACTAAAATGCAGCATACAGGGCATCATTATGAAACCACACATATAGAATATCTGTTGTGTTGAGATAGTATTGTAGCTATGTGTCAAGAAGGAAAACAAGGGGAAAGCTGATACATGAACACAAAATTATCTTTTAACAGCCCGATATCCTGAGTGTTGAGTAGCTGTCATTACCAAAAATTGATTCTGTATCATAATATTTTTCTGCAGAGCAAGTAATGTGAAACAATAACTGAAATAACCAGAATCTTCAAATTGCATCGAACATCAATGACGGGTTTATAAATCAGCAACTCTGTAAGCAAAACACAGTGGATGGGTAACAATACTGTTCTTCAATTGTTATTCTTCAGTGGTTATTCATGATGCAGTATGCAAAGACTTAAAATGAATGTACTCTTGACTGATGTTTGTGAATTTTGACAGCGTACACTGACCAGTATTGTAGGGTAAAAACATACAGGTGATGTGAGAACACTTGTAGGATAATGAGATGATAGAGAAAACTTGTAGTGCAGGTGAATAATTTTATTGATATTGTGTTCTTTGAGCTGGGTGATTGAATCGTGAAGCTTTCGTCGTCATTCTAGACAACATCGTCAACACGAAGTTCAGAAGGATGTAGCCTATAAATTTCCCTCTGCAATTCATTTTGCAGCTTGTCCTGATGACCTTGTGTGTGATTGCTTGTTTCTGTCAGCATCTTGCCATGGTTTCCATATTTGTCTGGATTGGTTGTCCTGATGACTTGAAATGTGACCTTCTTGATGTTTCTTATTAGTTGATAGATTGCATCAGTGTCAATAAGTCTGCTGCCAGCCAACTGACCTGAATACCAAGATCCTAAAACTTCTCTGATATTCTATGTATTTCCTCCATCAGAGTCATCCTCATTTTCCCAATACAAGTCATGTCTGCAGTTGTTCGTACACATTGAGATGAGCGAAGATATGTCATGTCGCTTCACTGCTAGTTGATGTTCATCTGGACAGATGCGAAGAGGATGACCACCCTGTCCTATATAGTATTGTCTGCAATATTCACAGTTTACTTTGTGGATAATGCTTGGTTTGTCTTCCTTTGTTAATGCAAATTTTGACCTGTATAACAGAGAGTGGAGGGGGATTTTGTAGGCTTGTGGGCTGCAGATATTCGGAAGGGCCTCAATAATCTATTCGTCATCTCGGAGACGTACTTCATGTAGAGTAGGACAATTTATTTGTCAGTTTTCGAGGTTTATTTCAAGGTTGACGGCGAATTATGCACACATCTTGTGAATAAGTTACATGGATAGCTGTTCTACGAGAAACCACCCATTATAGGTTTTATTCTCTTCTCATATTGTGGAGTTCGCCGAGGATCAGTACTAAGTGATTAAGTATTCATTCTAAATTGATTTACCGACCAAAATTTTTTTATTGCTGTAATCAAGTACCAGACTGCAATATATGTTATTGTGGTTAATATTCACTTAGAAGTTTTGAGTGGAATAAGTTTTAGTGATGAGCCGCTCAAAATATTTGAACTTAATTCGCGAGGATCTCATAAAGACTCCCAATACAAACGGAATCTTTCCATAGCATTTGCGAATTCTTCACTCTCATTGATTTGTTCTATCTGACTTCTTAATGAATTGAGAAACAACAGCTCTGCCACTGCGACATCTAGTCATCATAAGTTGCAGGTTAGACAGACATAGCCAGAAGAAGTCCCAACATATAGAAGCTGTACAACCTCTGGTAAATTCAGCGAGTGGGTTCAGTCGTTTGTCTCTACATTTCCGGACCGACAACACAGTGAAGACATCCTGCTTGGTCTCGCCATTCTTTTTTACCGTAATATCGATGAGATGCTTCGAGCAGCTATGAATATGAGGGACGCCAATGACTTTTCGACTTCGTTTATATGGATGATGCTACCTCACTACCTGAAAACACACACATGATACATGAATTCCACTCGATGGGTTGGCTAACAGAAGTGGGAAGTGAAGATTTGTTTTCATCCTCCAGTTTGGAAGATATACTGCAGGGTTAGCATGAGCTATATTTCAGTAACTTAACTACCACTTTGTCCCACGTCATCAACCTGCAACAGCTATTTTGACATTCCAACCACTACTTCGTAATTCTATTAACAAGTTTTGATGACCTTCTCTTAACCTTCGAGCCACAATCACCTTGGAACCATTGTTGACAATTTCTAGTCACTTTCCATTGACCCACTAGCCATTCATGGGTATGCAGTTCTGCAGTAACTATAGTTACGAATGTACAGCTTGTGAAAATGACTTGTCTAGATGAAAAAACGTTTTTGTTCAATCGCCTTCTGTTAATATTTCCATAATGTGATGCAACTCAGTGCAGTGCATTTCGTGATGCATTCACAGTACAACGTTTGCATGTAAAACTGAAGGTGGCAAATAAGAGAATTTGGGGAATTATTTTACCTACCTGACGTATGGCACCACAGGTTGCACATGGTCATAAGAAATCGCAGTAATATATCTGTAAATTAACATAGTAAGATATCAACTCAATTTGAAATTGGTGGCAAAATACAGACTGAAAGTATAACAATGTCTTCGCACTTGCATGAATTAAGCACGCGAAATCAATAAACTGCTTTTATTGTACCGAAATCATAAATCCAGTTGGTAAGCAGAATGCTTAGACACCTAATCAATGCGTGTATAATTAGAAGATATTGTTTGACGTGAATATGAATTTCCAATAAATCGTCGTCAGGCCTTACACTTACATTTTTTTACAAATTATCCAGCATAGGCATTAGATACGAACATGGGTAAATTTATTCGGATATATCAGTTAGAAGATAACAATAAAGTTGATAATGACAAAAGGAAATCATGAGGAGTTTATATCTACCCTCAGTAGTCAATCCTTGTAGGTGTGCGAGTGAGTTGTATGTGTTTGTGTGTGTGCAGGGCGATATAGGCAAATGAAATTATTCTCGCATAGCGATAAGATAGTAAAATGTTAAAATTCCTTATTAATTATGAAACTAAGCGCGAAAATTGAAATGATAATGATAAGAGTATCAAATGACTATGCTGAGCAACCTGTAAATGTAAATGTAAAGCCGGATGAGAACTTCCGACAAATACGCATTCGCTTCAAACTCTGTCTTCTAATGATCACAATGGGAGCATTTAAATTATTGAATGCCTGTATGTTCTCGATAGTCCTATATGAGGTATTGACATGTTATCTGATCCAGATGAATATGGTATGACTAGTGAAACGCTGAAGCTTCACTGCCTTTAGTCCTGATGAGATTGAGTTAGTCACAATTGGCGTAGAACATGCAAGCAAATGACTGTTGCTGTGATGTTGACAGAGTCGGATATGAACAAGGAAGTGGTCGAAGTTATAGAGAAACAAGCAATAATGAGAATTTCTAGCATTTTTAGACAATCCATAATTTACTGAAGGCTGAAGAACAATATTGTTTTTCAAACAGCAACTAGTTGACTTTGATAAACGACCTCATACACGTAAACTCCAACGCATATCCACTTTCGATGTCTTCTGGTCAGTAATTTGATGTCTTCATCCATCCCATCTGATATACAGATACGATACATCCTATTAAACAGGCATTCTATCAGACATTGCTTTTACTGCATCCGACAAAATCCTCGAAAATTCAGTCAGATATTATCCTGTTCATGATGGCTCTCCGTAAACTGACTGTCTTACTGAACCAACTTCTAGTCAACTCACCAGTACGTCTGTGAATGACAGATGATTATTGTTCTCTTTCTCACAAGTCAGGCTGATATGAGTTTGTAGGATGTCAAGTACCTAAATTGGACAAACCATATTCTCATGCCACTCACAAATCACCATGATGTCATCGACATATCTCCTGTAAACAGGAACTTTAGCAGTCAGATCACCAGCCAGATTTTCGATATATAGCATATAAATATCAGATAGTATTAGACAGAGGAGACTACCTATATCCGCACTGTCAAGTTGGCGAAAGCCTTCACCTTCAAATATAAAGTGAACTTTATCGATATACAGTAATAATAGTCGTGAAGAGAAGACTACATGCTGCTTATATACCTGCGAAATAATAACATTGCTTCATTCAACATCTGACAAGTAATAAAGAAAGACATCAGTGATTTTGTCTGAATGAAGTGGAATCAGTGCTAAGCAGTCATTATAATGTATAGTGACTTACAGAATCGGTAGCCCAACAATTGCCCAGATAAATCCACAAAATGGGATAGTAGAATGCTTGAAATGTTTCAGCGACATTGGTAGTGACCTAGCAGAACCAGGTGTGAACACAATATTTATTAACTTCTCTCTCCGAATATATGTATATATAAAAGTAAACAAATAAAAATTATCAGATTCCCACAGCATATTCAGCATATTCACATTTTGAACGGGTTTAAAAAACCCTAAAAACGCTCTCAGTGAGAATAATTCTTAAACATATCACTTTGTGAATATACCAACACAAGAATGTGTGAAGCAAGTTACATTCACCTAGATTGTCTACCGAATTCTCGGTAGTTAGTATATATGCCGAGAAGGCTGTGATGTTAGCAGAATTCTCAACATCGACAACAGAAATGTGTAATAAAATTTGCAACAAGTACATCCTGATGAAGAAATTAGACGTCAAGAGTAAATCCAATCCACAGTACCTTTGATTCTCAAATAACCTGAAGCTTACAAATAGCATTCAATTGGAATTAGATCTACGGTAAAACGACTGTTTCAGATTCCTATCATATGCGTAGACATACAGTATATTTAGTGTGCATGAAGAAAGGTTACATGTGCTAAACATTCGCTGAATGCGAGTGAATTCGTTCATTCATGATCTGTATTCAGTTGAACATAACAATTATCCTTTTCAATATTACACATATTCATAATGTAGGAACTCACAGTCAGTTAGTTGGAGTCACTGTCACCGGCTTACAAGTCACCGAAATGATGAAGGAACAATTGTTTAAGGAAGTAAATTAGTCTCAAACCAGTTCTAATCTACTCCACTCTCAGCTGGACAAACAGATTGGTGGATTGATTTACTACACATTTCTTATTGGTAGCCTTGATTAGATTATTAGTAATAACTATTCAATGAAACAAGAAAAGAGTGAAAAGTGATTGGCTTTTTAAGCAATTGTGATCAGGTAATCTGCTCTACCACGTTGACACAAATAAAGCTGAGAAATCAACATTGTTTTCTTAACTCTGTGTAGATTTAGTGTGATTCTCAAACACATGATTGAAGTGAAACAAAAACAACTAATATCACAGCTTTAAGGTGTAATTGGAATGGATGACCTTGACTTGGTTTAACGATGAAGGAATGTGTACATTTAGCTAGTAGTAAAATCTGGCGATGGCAGCCCAATATCTGAGTAGTTGTATACTCCATTACTGCTTAGCATATCATCGTTAGTATTGTGAAGGGATTGGGATGTAATTCAAAACTGAGTTTCCGTTTTAAGACGTATGGAAACACTGAAGAGGAAAGGTCTACCTAGGATGATATGAGGCGTGGCAAATGGGATCACCATACGGACATGCCTGATCCTCTGTTGACGTTGATGACGATGATGAGATATCATTCTTGACAGTGATTTAGTACTCACTGTACGACGGTATCTTCGAAAAACTATCGGCTGAGGCGAACACATAGACAAGAATCTGCTTCAACATTACAGACATTTCACCACTTTTCGCCATTTCACAGGACAGAAAAAGACGCATGCGTTTAAACACAATTCTAAGCTATTTCATTGGCGTCGTTCTAATGTAGGAGCCCACATTATACGAAAACGTACTGCGGTTTAAAATGAATAATATTATTTCTCCTTGTTTTACTATATTTATACCACTCAGTGCATTGGAATCTCTGAATTTCACAGTTTGGTAGGACAGTTCACACTCATCAAATAATCACTCCATATTTTCAGTCTGATAACAAGATAAATATTGCGGAGGGTGTTACAAGCAATCAATAAGGCAAAGGATACCTTTCCAAAGTTTCTAGGTACACTTTTATAGAGTGTAGTTTAAAAGCGTCAGATGGTGTGTCCTGCAATCCGCAAAATGATCATGATGAGATGACATGCGAAACAGACGTTGTTGTACATACCATGATCTATTTCTCTGGGATGTGAAGATTTTACAACTTTTAGTGAGATAAGTGAAATTTCATGCTGCAGCTTTGCGCTTACTAGTAGTAGTTAACAACATCCACTATGGACATGTTGTAAATCCCATCTAAAGTTTCCTTCAAGTTGCCTCTGTATTTCCCTCTCCATTCGCTTTTGCTCTGAATTATCAACAAGTGCTTTGACTGAAGTAAACTGGTGTGAAATTTTGAGCAAAATCAAAACTAACTTAACATTTTCAAAACCTGAAGAGCAAATAAGGCACTCATTATCGAAGTGATGCATGTCATTCGATGTATTATCGTGCTAAAGTATTTCATCTCAAAGTCCCTTCCATCAAAAAGTAATTTTATTAAAAAATCTTCATCATCAGAATGACATTTTCATTCAGGTGAGATAGCATTTTCATACAACTGATTCCAGTCAGAAATCCTAATAAAGTCAATGTAACTACTAGCTACTAGCTAAATGTACACATTCCTTCATCGTTAAACCAAGTCAAGGTCATCCATTCCAATTACACCTTAAAGCAGTGATATTTGTTGTTCTTGTTTCACTTCAATCATGTGTTTGAGAATCACACTAAATTTACACAGAGTTAAGAAAACAATGTTGAATTCTCAGCTTTATTTGTTTTGAAGTGTGTTGTGAAGTTGAATTAAACATTTGGGTTGAAGTGGAATTCAAAGTTAGTTAGTGTATGAAGACCAATCTTTCCTTTCACTCTCAACAACACCACCAACAATTATTAATACGAGTCTGGCGAACCCTGATTATCTCAGATAATCAAACTGATATCTAAATTATCATGCATGCACAGTGCACACCAAATGGCCACCTTGTGATACGCTTAAATCCTGTACATATCTTGTGTGACTCAACTGTAAGCAGGGAGAAGGTATCGATTCACGAATTCTGACAATGAAATTCAGGAGGCACGAAAATCACAGTCTGTGTAAATTACCGAATTCAACGTGATATCATTCATTGTTAGATGTAATTTACTGACATTCCTTGTTACAAGACTTCATGCCTCTACCTGACTGATAAATGTTGACGATGTACATTTTTGTAAGGTAAATCGAATGTTTGGTCATCATTTCGTACGTAGTAAGACACTTTTCTGAGAATATATTGTCTAAGAATATCTTTTCATGGAGCATTCTTCCTAACGTTTTAAGTACTACGACAAAGCCACCAACAGTTAGAGAGAGCTTATTAGTTTTGTCATTGATCCAACGAGTGACACTAGAAGAAAAGCGACAGTTGCTTCCAAACTCAAATGGAACGTAGCACGTTTGTGTATTATTATTATTATTATTTTCTAAAATTTATTATCTGATAATTAGTTAGTGATAGCATACATAACCTTTATACGGCCTACTTACAATATGTTCGTCCAACGTCATTACAATATTATTCAACTTCAGCTACTTTCAGTCAATGCCTATGGTGCTCAAAGCTAATGCAGACATTAACAAAACGGTACAAATCGAAAGTTCCAATTCTTCTGACTCTTCTCGTTGGTCTAATCATGATAGTATCAGGGATGTGCATACTGGGACTCACTTATATTGATGTAAGTCTTTATTATTCTCATACTCACTCACGAAAGTGTATGTGCTAATGAATCGCTTTGAATTTTATGTTGTATGACAGGACATAATTTTCCACTGAGTATCGTTGGAAAGATGATGCTCACCATTCAGCCCAATACAATCAAAGATATGTTGACTGGAGTATCTAGCCAAGTGAAAGAGTATTGTGTGACTTTGTGTGCCAATAACACAAGAGGTAGGATTCCTTAATTCTCAGTTGGTCATTACATTCATTGAAGCAGTTTAATTGTTTTGGTGTGATTTGTTCAGGAAAAGAATAGGCGAGTAGCTGTAGTAGGCATCAATCTAGAGTTCTGATATCTAAACCGAGAGATCATAGTGTCAGAGTTTTTCTCAAATTTTCACTTTATCTCCATTCTATAGTTGGTCTCAGTGTTAGGTATTCAATATATTTTCCAGACAAAAGACACTAAGGTTTCGTTGAAATCTTCAAGTTTTCAAGTCGTGTCACTTGACAGCAGCGAATTCACCTCCCAACCTGAGGGTTTGGATAGATGTCAGACTATCTACCAACGGAGAAGCAGACGTCATGAAGATGTCAAAGAGATTCGAACACATGTACTTTCTTAAGACTGCTCAGATTTGACGAAATTACTTTGTGAGCAGTGTTGAGGTCGGAGGAAGATAACAGGTCAAAATATGCATGTTAAAGAGGTTGTGAATCTCCACTGACTGAGATGGCTTGGACATGTGTTGTGCATGCCGAGGCACCACCAGCAGAGTTGTGTCATGCTAGAGGAAGTTGGATTTGGTTACAATAGTGTTCAAGGTGGCCAGACCAAGACATGACACTAGTGGATGAAGTTCCTGACTATTGCTGTGAGTTGTCTGGGAGATGTAAGCTGCCTGCATTCAGTCCCTGAGATGGCAGCAATCAATGTTTGAGGACTGTTGGTGACATGACTGAAAAATTGGTGTGTCTGGAGCATACGTATTCACTCACAGAAGTCTTCTGAGGTTCAAATGTTTTCCCTGACCCTGATTTTAGATCCTCTCTCATCTCACACACCTTTCTCTAGTTTGTTCCAATTTTTTTTCTATCCATTTTCTCCTTATATGCTACTGTGAATTGTGGCAATTTGAGCCAGTGCATTCATGTGTGAGGTTCTTCACTCCTTTCGTCTCTCCATATGCAATGAAGCCTGTTGAGCCCCTTTGGCATGCTCGAGCATTATGCATTCCGTCTAAGACATCAAAGATCTTCACATGGCCATCTCAGACAAAATTTTACTCTTCAGAAAATTATTAGTGTTTGTTTGTTTGGCATCTGTTGATGCTTGATATTCACACGTGTTTTGACTTTCATATATATTCCTTTTTACTATCGTGTGATTGCTGTGGAGAAGTAGCCTACATTTTCTTTCATCGAGTAATGATAAGATAAGTGATAAGAGAGTGAGAAAGAGCAAACCTTCCATCGTCAAAATTAGCTACGACAACAAATGTTTGGCATAGCACCAACATTAGTTATCTAACCCTGGTCAAGTATTTTCCAACAATGCTTACGACCAAATTCTTCAATGGTACATTCGACTTCACGTTCATCAGGAAATAGTCTTCTTTTTCGCATCTGCAAACAACTTCATGAATCGCCGATTTTCTATCATACTAAACCGAATGTTGGTGATATTAGTAAATTCAAGTTATAAACCACCTCCATGAAATGATACGTGGACGAAAGTTGAACTGCACAGAGCATAAGATCACGTATTAATAACAAACTCATAGTGAGTAGTTATGAAATACTGCACTTTGAAATGCTGGAAGGTGAAACTCTTTCATTCAAATGCGTTCAGTCAACAGTGGATGGAAGGGCGTCAACATGCTTTGCTTTCAGTAAGGCAATGTGTATCTCTATGGAAACTGATACGGTTGGCTAATGTGTCTATTTGCATCCAGTATTCTACGAAATTGACTACATGACGGCCTTATACTAGACACATGTTAAGTAACTCTGGTTTTGGAAAAGAGAATCCATATGAACTGCATGACGAAGCTATAAAATCATCTGAAAATAAATTATTGTAGCCTTACTAATAATAACAATCATAATAAATACTAACATTTTTGAACATTCCTCCAAATCTTACTTGCAGACGAAGGAGGATAATCGATCACACTATCACCTGACTTTGCTCAATTTCACATGTCACATTTTAGCCATGACAATCAGTGTCCCAGTAATTATTGTCAC